CTGGTTCCGCCCCGCCGAGGACTGTGCCCAGAAGAATATCCTCCAGGACTGGTGTCACTTTATCCAGACCCTGATGCTGCAGCTTGGCGCGTCCACTCCGTCCGCGCCACTGCCCCTGGCCACCGGGAAGGGGCCCCTGAGCCCTGTCACACCGGCATCACCAACCTTTGTGAACCCTTTTGCGTCCTCGCAGCGCGGGCGCGGTGACCAATCCGAGTTCTCACCTCACCAATATCAGCAGACGACACCACAGAGCCAGTACACTCCGCGTCCGGGCAGCGGAAACAATGCCACGGGACGGACCAACGCTCTCAGCCACAAAGGCTCCAACCAAACGACCCAAACGACCCAAACGACCCAAACATCCCAAACATCCCAAACATATTCGAGTCGAGAGCGCGAACGGGACCGGCCCAAGACGTACTCGGAATCGCCCAGCCTGCGCTCGCGCCGCAGCGATCTCTCTCACACAAGCTCCAACCTACCGCCCCACGCCACAACTCCTGGCTACAGCAGCAGCAGTAGCAACTTTGCGCTGCCCTTCTTCCACAACCGCCCTGCCGATTTGCCGTCACCGGCCACAACCGTCAACGAGTTCTCGGGCGATTCTGTCGAAGGCTGGACAACTACCCAGGGCCGTTCCTCGACACTCAGCTCGCCAGTCCGTGGCCGGGACAGCATCAGCTCGCAGCCGCCCGTCCCCATGACGATCGCCGCAGGGCTCCCAGGCCCATCCCCGACTGATGGTGCCGCTGCCGGTGCGATCAGCTCCAGCTCACCGCCCGCGCCACGAGAGACGATCCTGGACCGTGCGTTTCAGATGCACTTCATTCCTGGCTCCGATCGTGATATGATTCCAGGTGAAAATAAGCTCACGTCACTGGCACGCTTCGATGCCCTGATGCGGGAAGTCGACGAGAGGAAGCGGTTACGGCAGGCTGTGGCTGCATCGGATATCAAGCGGAGTGCCATCACGGCGCCCGTGACTCGCCCAGACCCTCAACTAAAGAGCGGCTGGGACCTGGATGACGACTCGGATGAGTCTGACAGCGTTGAGAGGAATGATGACGATGACGAGGAGGAGGAGGAGGACAGCGAAGCGGCTGCGAGCGCTGACGGCGATGACGACGGTATTGTCAGCAGCCACTTCATGAGACGCAATGGGCGGCGGGCTGATAGCTCCAGTCTTCGCCCAGGCACCCACCTGGACTCGCCTGTCGATATTGCGCCAAACGCCCGCCGTGCCCTCGATTTCATTATCGCGGGTCGCAGTCGGGAAGCCGACCGTGAGTCTCGCCGTACACCGGCATCCAAGTCACGCGCCGATGGCCTTGTCAACTATGACGCCCAGACCCTCAAGGCGCTGAACGACGGCTACTTCCCATCCACCACGCAGATGCACGAGCAGGAGCCGATCATGCGCCCACAGACGGGCTACGCGCGCAACCGGCCTCCCATTGCCCAGCGGACGCACAGCCAGCCACAGCTCGCTGCGCTCAACGTGAACAACCTGGTGGCGGCTGGACACAGCGGCAGCGCCAACAACCGCCAGTCGCAGCACAAGCAAGCCGTCCAGTCGCCCATCTCACCGTCGTCCCCGCCGCCCCTGCCACGCTCGTCGACCTTTAGCAAAGTGGACGAGATGAAGGCCAAAGTAGCGGCCGCAGCAGCCGCGTCTGTCGCGGCAGGCAACCTGGCGTCCTTGCCTCTCGACAAGCGCCAGTCGGCCTCGAGCGCGAAGCGCCTCAGCTTCAACGACTTCACCAGGCGGCTCAGCAGCAGCACGAGCAGCCTCCTTCTGGTGCAGACCAACACCAGCAGCAACAGCGGCAGTGGTAACGTGAGCGGTACGGGCAGCGTGATCCACGAGGGTGTTGGTGTTGACGCTGGGTCGGCGGCTCCCGGCCTGAGCGGCCTGAGCACCCCCCGCACCGAGAAGCACGGCTACACCCTCAGCAGCAGCAGCACCAACGGCCACGGACATGGTCACCAGCACAGCAGCTCGACGTCGTCGCGACTGACCTCGCCGCCGCCGCCGCCGCCGCCACCACCACCTGCTGCCGAGCGCTGTGGCTGGCGCGGTAGCGTTAGCGTGGTCAGCAACGAGGGCGGCTTCGTGTAGGCCAGCGTTCAACCATTTCTCCTGCATTTCTCGTTCTGTCCCGCCATCAAATGATGTTTGCGAGGCGCGAGGCTTCGGGTCATGATATACCTTGCTGCTTTCTGTTGTTGGCGATCAGCATTGTGTTTTAACGTCGTTTCTCTCTGTGTGTCACGTCTCTTCTCTCTCGCCTTCATTCTTTGGTTCTGCTCTTGGCGCATAACCATGTTGTCTTTTTGCCCTGTACTATATGTGATACCTTTGTCTATTTTTCCTTTTCTTGATATCATTGGCCTTTGCCTTGTTTTTTGCGATTCGTCGCTCGTTTTGTTCTAGCATCATTTTCGGCTTTGAGTCCTTTTCGCATCTCACTCACGACTGTTTTTGACGAACATGAAAAAATCGTTAATGAATATAGTATCGCGTTTGCAAAGCTTTAATTATCCTGGGATGGAAGAGGTAATGTGCGACGTGTTCGATGATGGGCAGACAGAGAAATACTGAGACGAGAGGTTGAATGCATGCGACCAAATACCACTTATCACATATTGCTTCTCTCATACCGTTTAGTAGATGAATTGTAAAACCTTCATGGAGTCCGACCAAAGGACAAGGCACCACTCTGCTACGAATGATTATTTTTGTTCTGCCCATTCACATTGATCCACGTGCCGTTGTATTGCATACCAAAATAGCCCAAAACCAAGCAGGGTCTGGTTCCCGTCCATTTCCTTGATATCTACGACCCTATCTATGCAATTCATCAACGAGCAAACAGGGAAAGCGGCCTGGCCCGTCTAGGAGTGCCAGCCACTATCCACCGGTAAAAGGGGACGGACTTTCTCGCTTACCGTCTGCTGCAAGGTACATGACGCACAAATGTGGCGCTGTCCTGATTTTCGGTCGTGGTCGGCTCTTCTCATATTAAACCACGAATCAGAAGTATCAAAACAGTATATTGTCGTCCTCGTTGATTGTTTATTTGCTTCTAGTCCAAAAAAAATAAATGTCTGACTTGTCATGGCCGTTTGACAAAAAAGATTGAGAAGAGAATTGAGAGATAACAGACGCCAAAACCTTACACCATATGCTCTTCGTACATAGCAAACATAAAGCGCCCCGTTACGGTCTCATAATCTACCTGCGCCGCCTGTTCTGCGCATCATTATACCGCATATCGGAGGTTTTCACACGTCGGTAGCTTCCAAACCAGCCTTCGTCAACAGGGCACCGACGACCAGTACCGTCAGTCAAGAAGCGCATCCCCAATGCGGTTAAGATGTTTGTCTCTGAAAGTCGTGGCTGCCGAGGCACAGAAGAAATGATACTTAGGTCGACGTATCTACGCCGTTTTAACTGATATACAGCCTGCGTTCTGTTGGAATAATAGTGTCAATATACAGTACGGTGCGAAAATTTGACTCAACGAGAAGCAAATACTTGCATAAAATCTCGGCAACCAAAATACTTATCATCCAATATAATAAAGTAGAAGTCCAACATCGACTTGTTGATAAACACATATACCACCTGTCTTAGGGTGAAGGCCGAAATCCGTTGTATTAGGCATGTGCGAACCGAGCTGTTGGATCGACCGTCGTAAGGCACTGGCTTCATGAGAAGGCGACCAGGCTTGTAGCTTGGGTTGTAGTTATCACTTGACCCGTTCAAATCGATGCTTCCTCGCTGCCAGTCGGGCTCCATCGACAGGCGAGTGCCGAGATACGATATCCTGTTTGAGGTATACCCGGTTTCAAAGTCGATTTTAAGGATAGCATGGTTCTTTGCGTTCTGTATTTGTTCGGTAGTCATGCCAGTTATGGTGGTATTCAAAAACTCGACGTACACATGCCGAATTCTGAGGTCAAGGAACTCGTCCGGCACGTTGTCGAGCTCGCCATTGGAAAGGTTATAGCCATCGTCACCGAACTCCAAAGGAGGCAGGTTCATGGCACCTTGGATACTCCGTACAATCTCCTGGCTTGGAAAGTAAAAAATTGACTAAGTAATGGGAACTGCTGAGGAAACGTGAACGAGAATGAGAGTTTGATACTTATTGATCTCACGAGTTAAATTTTACGATTCAAGTCAAGGCCTTTATAGATATTCATTCCTTGTCCTTGAATATCAGTGTATCTGTCGAAAATATCGCCACTCATAAGAATAGAATCAAGTGAGGTCGAGGCAGTGGACACGATGTGATGTCTGGTGCACGACTTCCTTTGATGAGCCATCATCACAAACGACCTCTCCCGGTGTTGGTGGCCAACATTCCCCCTTCAAAGACTACTTGGTTGCCCTGTCTACTCCTGATACGATCTCAGTAACAGAGCATAGGTTGATATGTTGGCCCTCACCTCATGTTTGTGGCTTTTACGGCACTCCTACAAAGATGGCCACGGCCATCTCTCTTCGGCTTTGACGAAGTACAGGGGCCAGGGGACGCCTGGAGGCGGCACGGTCCGTAGTGCGCTTTGGTGGAGCCTTCCCAGGAATGGTTTATTTTCGGTAATAGCCCTTATTACATGAAAGCTTTGTTCTGCAATGAAAGAAATTCAGCAGAAAATAGAATTCAAAAGGCGCATACCTCTCTATATATAGGTAGAATGGCGTAAATGTATTGTCGCATAGCTGCAAAGTGGTTTGTCCCGTGAATTATTTATGGCCTCAGGCACAATTCCAGGTGCTCAAGTCGTCAGGGACGCCTCTTTACCCTCATAGGTCGCAAATTCGGCGGCATTGCAGATATAGACTCTACGCGGCACAACAACTCGCAAATATTCGTACTTTGTACGAACGTATACCACTCACAACGACCCGGTTCATAAGAAACGCAGACCGAATATCGCTACTCTTTTGTTATCCAAGAGTCTATCTTTCATCGGCATTCCAATACGCCATGACGTGGCTAGGCGAGCCGGAACCGCCCATTGATCTGGAGTTTGAGGGCATCGCACCGCCGGAGGGCGTTGATCTGCCCAAAGGCGACAAATTGTTGGGCCTTTGCGAGAGAGGAAATCCTCGAGGCTTTATTGAATATCCGGCGGAGTCGCCCGTCTTCTTCATCAAGCACGGCTTGGCGGTCTACTGGAATGAGGTACTCGCCCAGGATATGGCGTACCGCGAGCTTCGAAAACTCGGCTCCTCCGTGCGCGTGCCCGGCATCTTATACGCTTGCCGGACCATGCAGAGGGCCGTGATCGTCATGGAGTATATTCAAGGCAAAACAGTCGAACAACTTTTGGAAGAGTGCAAGGACGATGAAGCAGAGGCAGAGAGGGTGCGAGGAATCGTCGTGCACTGCCTCAACGACCTCATCCGCATACCCGTTGCCGCTGGATCGCGGCCGGCTGCCATCGACGGCGGCCGTATCCGCCACGACGTCTTTGACTGCCGTCAGGCATCGAGACACTACGAAAATGTTAATCAGCTTGAGGAACACATCAACTATGTAAGTGCCTTTGCAGTTTCCCAGTTTCTTTATTTTGTTCCCGTCTTCCTTTACACAGTAAGATTTATGTCGTTATAATAATAATAATAATTTATTTGATTTTACTGACCACAAAAGTTCTTAACCATTGCCAAACGAAAGCCTCTGGTCAAAGACTTGGAACGAGAGCCCATGATCTTCTTGCAGGACGACTGGTTTCCGGCCAACTTCATGCGCGACGCCGACGGCCACCCTGTCGCCATCGACTTCTCTGAAACCAGTATCCTGCCTTCCAGTTTTGCAAAATTCTTGCTCTGGGACAACAGGTTCGGCATCACCATCAGGGGGCGAGTCGACATTCCCGTCACAGAAGGTGTAGACAACACGATGGCATTGCTCCACATTTCCGGCTTGATTAATATGGGCGCAGGTTCGTTCGCTCGGTTTGGCTACCGCGTGGCCGGCGGTGATCGTGAGACACAGGTGAGGATGAATGAATCCATTCGGACTGCAGCGAGCAATGCGGTGGACGCAGAAGCCGGTACAACTACCGTTGCATCGATCGGGAGCTCTTCGACATGAGACGCTTGTACACAACGTCTCATGGGGAAGGCTGGCCCTGTCTCATCTCATGCACAGTGGGCTTTCTCTCTTTCACGTTCGGGGGCGCCTTTGTGCAGCCGGCCACCTGGCCGGACACGCGTGGCCGTCTTCTCCTCAGATCGCCTTTTCTTCTTTTTGGTCTGCTCTGGACCGTGCAGTAGCCAAGATCCACAGACATGCTTTTGTACCTTTTCTTAGATCGATAACAGACGCAAGTGTCCCATTATGTCCTTGTCCGCACAGAGAACGTGCTCGATGAATCTTAGGGGTACATCTTTCGTACTCCGTGCAAGTAATTTTGTAATAAAATGGACATGAGACTGAACACGTCGTGCTGCCTGTCCCCGCCATCATCATTGCACGTCCTCATCTCCTCCATTCCTGCCTGACATCGGGAATCATGGTGAATGTCCAGTCGCTGCGACTCAGTCCGTATTGTGTCGTGTGCTTGTGGAGGCAAGGGATCGTGTGCTTCGCGTTGCGTCCTGTCTTTGATGTCTCGGTTTGGGCTCACGAGGCCAGCTCACCGCTGCCCCTTCCTTGCTGGTGCCCACTTCCCCCCGCTCCTGCCCGTCTACTAGCGTCAAACGTGCTGGCATCCCCTATCGCACCGTGCTAATTGCGGGTGCACTGCACGCAGGCTGAAGACCCACTCTTCGATAACGCCAGCGGTCAGCTCCTTCCTGGATCACCCTGTGCATCCTTTCAGCGCCCAATACACCCCCAGTTCTGCCAGGCAGAAAAGGCAGGACCTGATATCCTGTATTCACTGTAAACCTGCTCCTGCCGCCCTGGTCCCCCGTTGCCAATGGTGCCTTCCGTCTTCTCCGCCTTCGAACAGCCACCTGGACCTTCCCTCTGGAGCTTTCTCTCACAAGCGCTCTTTCCCCTTTGCTCCCTTCCCTATGGGCTGCATCCTTCTCAACGCCATCGTTTCCTTTCGTCTCGCCAGTCTCAAACAAAACAAACCAAACTGTTGATATTGTCACGATCGAAAGGGTCATCTAAGCTCGCAAAGCAGCCCAGACACCCAACCGCACCACCACCAGTTTGCAGAGCACTACTGGGACGCTACGGGCGTGCAAAGTACTACAGTGCGTGACCTTTGGCCTAATCTGACTGGGGCCAGGCCACACTGACCAAATCGCCCCCAAAACGCCCGACGTCACCTTTCAGGCCAGACCGACAACTACCGCTCATTTATCCTGTGCTCGGTCCGTGCAACCAGGCATTCCCATCAGCATCTCATCAACTCCGCCAACTCGCATCTCGCACTCTCTTTCCTCGGCATACCACGCACCCGATCATCGTTTCTGGCATCCAACAGCTACCGACTCTCTTTTTCCACTCGGCCAGCCGTGCAATCAGGATTTTCGTCGGCCAAGACATCTCAGACATCTTACATCTCAAAAACAAAAGAGACAACGCCAGCGCTTGCCAGCTTACTCACCACTTCCTTTCACCTTGTCCTCTCCCCATTCCACCCATCCACCCATCCTTCCATCTCCCCCATCTCCCCATCTCCCCCTGCGGAGAGGCTTCTTGCTCCTCTCCGCAGCCCTCGACCATCGACGCGGTGGCCGACTCAACTCCCCACCCCTCTCTGCCCCCCTGCCCCCTGCCCCCTTCCCCCTTCCCCCCTCCCCACTCCGCCGCACTCGACACGCCACGGTCGCCGGTAACACCGGCTCGACTGCCCCCGACGAGACGCTCCACTCGCCGCCCTCTGCCACTTCACAGACGCCGACGACGACGACAGCGACCCCCAACATCCCAACAGACGCCGCCGACGGTTCTGCCAGTCTACTGCCGCCCGCGTCAGCCAACCCTCGTCGGAGACGGACGACTCGCTCCGGTACTGCACGCATCAATACCCTCCGCCCTACACGACAGGTGCTCGGGAGGCGTCGGCGCTCTGCTGCGGACGAGGACGAGCAAGACATTGCAGACGCTCAGGTTGAGGCTCAGGCTCAAGCTCAGACAGACGAGGACCAGGACCAGGCAGCACGGGACGGAGACGCAGAAGCAGTCCCGGGGCAGAACAGCCAACCAGGCGGTGACGAAAACGACGGTGACGTCGCGGGCAACGAGGCCACCGCCAGAAACGGCAACGGCGACAGCAACAGACATCAGCTTCCCGCTCCCCGGCCCAAGCGTGCGCGGAGAGAGAGTGCCAACACCATGCTTGCCGCCAGCGACGCTGAATCTCAACTGGCTAGCATGAACGGCTCATCTCACCTTCAGAATGGCAAAGATAAGGCAACCACGCGGCGAGGTCCCGCATCCAACGGCCCTTCCCAGGTCACACGACGTCCAGCCACCTACTACGGACACGACCGAGAAGAAATCACACGCATCCTGATCCAGGCCCTGTCCGACTTGGGCTACAACGACGCCGCCGAGAACGTCTCCCACAGCAGCGGCTTCGCCCTCGAAAGCCCAGCGGTGGCCGACTTCCGCCGCGCGGTGCTTGGGGGCGACTGGGACGAGGCCGAGCGGCTCTTGCTGGGGGCGACCGTCGAGGGCACGGAACCGTCAGACACATCTGGTCAGGACGACCAGTCGACCACATCTCCAGCCAATGGCCAGACTGCCTCCGGTGCACCAGAAGACGCCACCGGCCTGCTGCTCATTCCAGGGACAAACCGTGATCTGATGCGCTTCGGCATCCGCCAACAGAAGTACCTCGAGTACCTGGAGCAGTCCGAAACCGCAAAGGCCCTGCTTGTGCTGCGGAACGAGCTAACACCGTTGTATCGCGACACGCAGAAGCTGCACTTCCTCTCCAGCCTTCTTATGTGCCATTCACCTCTGGACTTGAAAACGCGTGCGACCTGGGACGGTGCCTACGGTCAGTCTCGCCCGCATCTGCTCTCGGAGCTGTCGAGATTTATTTCGCCATCAGTTATGCTGCCGGAGCATCGTCTGGCAGTTCTTCTGCGGCAAATCAAGGACTACCAGGTGTCCGGCTGCGTGTTCCACACAAGCGCAACCTCACCATCGCTCTACGCTGACCACGAGTGTGATAAAAGCAACTTCCCCTCACACATGCTGTACGAGCTGGATAGCAACTCGGGCGAGGTGTGGCACATACGCTTTTCCAACAATGGCAAGTTCCTCGCCAGCTGCGGGTCCGGCCGCTACGTTAACATTTACGACATGTCGTCCTTTAAGCTCAAGATGCGCCTGGACGGCCATGCGCAGGGCGTCGGCGACATTGCCTGGAGCCCCGACGACCGCACACTGCTGTCGTGCGGCCGCGACGGCCGCGCCCGCCTGTGGGACATGAGCACTGGTCTGTTGATCCGTCTCTTTGAGCAGTTTGAAGAGCCCATCAGCTGCTGTGTGTGGGCGAACGACGGTCAATCCATCGTGCTGGGCTCCTTTGACAAGGACCGCGCCTTGGTGCAGTGGGGCGTCGGCGGCGAACGCTTGCACACCTGGACTAGGAAGCACCGCACCGAGGCCCTGGCTCTGTCGCCGGACGGTTTCTGGTTGGTGGCCATGGACCACGAGAAGCGTCTACACGTGTACAACTTTCTGACCATGGAGCTCGAGTACGACATGGAGCTCGATAGCCGTGCTTTCTCTATTGCCATTAGCCGCGACTCGGAATACTTGTTGGTCAACCGCCAGGACGGCGCCATCCACATGTACAACCTCAGTGCCCGTGGCGAGCCTGTACGCAAGTACCTTGGCGCCACCGGCGGCGACTGCATTATCAGAAGCTCTTTTGGCGGTGCCGACGAGAGCTTTGTCATCAGCGGCAGCGAAGGTAAGATCCACCACCCCCGTTTTACTCTCTTTTTACCCTTTTCCTTCAATATACTAATGAGACCGTCAGACGGCAACTTAAACATATGGCACAAAAACTTGGGCGTTCACTTGCTCAAACTGGAGGCCCACAAACCCCGGTGCAATGCTGTCAGCTGGAGCCCGACCGACCCGTGTCTCTTTGCCTCCTGTGGCGACGACAACAAGATCAAGATGTATGCTAAGCACACTGCCCTCCTTCGCTCTCAGAGTGTTTAAAGCGCTCCTGCTAACCGCCAACAGCTGGTCGAATGCTGAGCGTGTCCGTCTACGCGACGCTGATCCATCACACTCAAATGGTGTGAGCAATCGCAGCGCCAATGGATGGCGACCTGACTTGTCAAGTGCTTGATCACGAGCATCTTTGTTGGTTGGCAACGGTGCCAGAGCCAAAAATAGCCGATATCCCGTCTCCGCCACAGCCCATTGTGACTGCTCGTCGGCATTTGCCTTTGTACTTTTTCAAATCCATGATGCTTCCACAGTCCGTGTCTGTATTGTCTCCAATAGAGGCGCAATATCTTTACTTGCCGTTTTGCTTTCTTATGTGTTCATTATTATCCTGTATCTGTTTTGTTTTATTTTGGTGACGGACTGCTGTTTCTCTGGATATCATGGATACGTTGCCTTGTGTTCTTTTTTTTGTTGCTTCCTTATGGCTTGACCCCTCTCCGTTTTCCTTGGCTCTGCTGTTTTACTATTTGTTTTACATATGCGCACGCACACATCCGGACTGGTGTTGGTTATGTCTGATATGTTCCTCGTCGATTTCCCTGTGCAGCCCTGTTATCCTTTCCCCGACTTCTATTTCTTCTGTTTCTATTTACTCTTTTGTCATTTTGTCTTCTCTTAGTCTCCCTTGTCTCTCTGCATGTTTTGGCTGTTGCATCTGGGTGTGTTGTTTTGACTGTATTCCTGCTCCTGGGTTTCCGCGAAAGAGTCGAGATATTTGAATACGAATAGGGTAATCTCATTCTTAGATGACATTTTCTTGGATTCCAGTTGACTGTTGGTTTGCATCTTGCATTTTGTTTCTTCTATTGGTCTATGAGAAGTCATGTTCACATTACGTCGTTACGTGGCGAATGATATTTCCAACAAACAGGTCCAGCGGCAAAAACAAAATAACATACGACAACGACAACCTTTCCCCGCACCGCTTACCATGCGATGCGTGCGAGGAAGCCATTGGGCCACCGCCGCACACAAAACTTGCGCGCCTCGTCCAGCAGCAAGATGCCCATACCAAAGGCCATGGGCAAGAACCAGTGCTCCACGGGCACCGGCATGTTGCCCAGCACCGTCTGGAACTTGGGCACATACAACCAAAAGATGACCATGACGACGGCAAAGCCAATGGCCGCGAAAAGGTACAGGTTCTGGGTGCACTTGTTGAACAGCGGGGGGTGCTGGAAGATGGACAGGCGGCGCGTGCGCATCGCCAGCAGATTGAACCACTGCATGACGACAAGATTGACAAAGTAGATGGAGCTCGCAATGTTGAGCTTCTCGGCATAGTAGTCTGGGTCGATGTTGTCTGGCAGGCTGCCGAAGCGGAACCAGATGGCGCCGAAGAAGGGGATGCCCGAGCGCTGCAGATACCAATAGGCCATGGTGAAGGAGGTGACCGTCTCAATGGTGCCCGTGACCCAGTACGCCTGCAGCAGCAGCTTCCAGTCGACGAGACGGTCCTTGCCGGGCAGACGCGGCGGGCGCGTCAGCACGTCCGCCTCGGGCGCCTCGTATGCGAGCGCAATGGAGGCCATGGGGTCCGTGAACAGGCAGATGATGATCATCAGGAAGCTGCTCAGAATCTGCGGGATGCCGAAGACGACGTTGGTGATGACGGGCCAGAACTCGCTAAAGGTGCCGGCAGGTAGCAGGTAGGCAATCGTCTTCTTGAGGTTGTCAAACATCATGCGGCCGAAGCGCAGGGCCTCCACGACGCTCGAGAACGAATTGTCCAGCAGCACCATGTCGGCGGCCTCGCGCGCCATGTCGCTGCCCGAGCCCATGGCCATGCCAATGTCGGCCGCCCGCAGCGACGGCGCGTCGTTGACACCGTCGCCCGTCATGCCCACAATGTACGAGCGCCCGCGGAGCTCGCGCACGATGCGCAGCTTCTGCTCGGGCGTTGTGCGCGCAAAGACAATCTCCTCGTACTGTGCCAGGGCGTCCCACTGGGTCTCGTTGAGGCTCAACAGCTCGGGGCCGCTGAGGACGATTGCCTTTCGCGTGGTCTCGAGCACAAACCGCTCCTTGCCAAAGGCCTTTTTGGGAGTGGTAACGTCATCATCCGTCTGCGCCGGCGCCTCTGGCGCAGCAGCAGCAGCAATACCACCACCACCACCACCACCACGCGGCAAGTCTGCGACCGAGTCGACCTTGGTGCCAGTCTCGGCCGACGCCGTGATAATGCCACACTCGGCCGCAATGGCCTGTGCCGTCAGCGCGAAATCGCCCGTGACCATGAAGATGCGGATGCCTGCCCGCCGCAGCGTGTTGACGACATCGGGGATCTCCGGCCGCGGCGGGTCCACAATGCCGACGAGGCCGACCAGTGTCATGCCGGTCTTGGCCTGGCGCTGCATTTCCTCTTCAAAGGCCGCCGACGACAGGCCGGGGGCCAGCGTGGCCGCCGACAGCGTCTTGCGCGCCAGCAAAATCACGCGGCGGCCGTGGGCCGACCAGCTGTCCTTGATGGCGTTGACGCCAGCGCGCGTTGCGGCGTCCATCTCGACGGCGACGCCCGTGGACGGGCTCACATAGTACTGGACGCGGTCCAGCAGGATCTCGGGGGCGCCCTTGATGGTCAGCATGACGTCGTTGGGCTGGAAGACGGAGGCCAGGCCCGTGGGCAGGGCCAGGGCGAGCCCCTCCTTGTGGGCCAGCGACAGGGCGCGGATCATGTACTTGTTCTTGCTGTTGAAGGGCAGGGTGTACTTGGCGGACCAGTTGGCGCGCAGCTCGGCCACGGGGCCCAGGCGCTCGGAGAAGCGCAGGACGGCCTGGTCGGTGGCGTCGCCGTGGATGGTCTGTTCCGCGAGGGGCAGGTGGCGCGTGGCTGCGTCAAACTGGCCGTCGTTGCAGAGGGCGGCCACGGCGCGCAGCTGGTCGAGGGCCGGGGCCCCGCGCTCAAACGCCAGCAGCTGGTCGACCAGGTCGGCGCCGGCGCTGTCGGCATTCGTATTTCGAGCGTCGACGTCGACGTCGTCGTCGCCATCAAGAACATCACCGTCCACGTCCGGCTCTGGGGACAACGAGCGCGTATGGCGATCGGCACGCTGCAGAACCAGAGCATCGCGTGCTTCGTCGGTGGTCATGGTCCGCTTGCCGCCAACGGCACACTCGGTGACGACCATCTTGTTCTGGGTCAGGGTGCCAGTCTTGTCGGAGCAGATAATGGAGACGGAGCCGAGCGTCTCGACGGTGCGCAGCGACTTGCAGAGGATGCGGTTCTTGCGCATCATGTTGGCACTGATGGTCATGCTGGCGGTGAGGGCGACGGGCAGGCCCTCGGGCACAAAGGCGACGGCGACGGAGACGGCGGACACGATGAGGCCGGCGACGGTGATCCACTCGGGGTGGTCCTTGCGCAGCCACGCGGCCCAGATGATGATGACCAAGACGATGACGGACACCATGATGGAGCAGACGATGGCGACAAAGTTGAAGATCTCGCGCTCCAGCGTCGTCATGCCCGTCTTGGGCTCGTTGGTGAGGCGCGCAATGCGGCCAAAGACGGTGCTGTCGCCCGTGGCCACGACGATGCCGGTGCAGGTGCCGGAGACGCAGTGGGTGCCCTGCAGGCCGATGCAGCGCGTCTCCAGGTAGTTGTCGTCGGTGGAGTGGACGGTGGCGGCCAGCGGCACGGACTCGCCCGTCAGGATGGAGCGGTCAAACTTGGTGTCGGACGCGCCGGACGCGGTACCCGAGGACGACGACGACGACGACACGTCGACGAAGCGCACGTCGGCCGGCAGTTTGTTGCCGGCCTTGATCATCAGCACGTCGCCGGGCACGACCTGGTCGGCGGCGACGCTCGTGATGCTGCCGTCGCGCAGCACCAGCGACGCGTCGGCGAGCATGGTCTGGATGGAGCTCATGACGCGGGCGCTGGACCAGTCCTGCCACATGTTGAAGAGGGCCTGGATGGCAAAGATGGCAGCGAGGACAATGGCGAGGGCCAGGTTGGCGACGGCCGGGTTGGGATTGCCGAGCGGCTTCCAGGCGATGAAGACGAGGACGGAGGCGACGAGCAGCACGGGGCCGAAGCCCTTGAAGAAGTAGCCCAGGACCTGGCGCGTGCGGTGGGTGGGCGGCGGCGAGGGCACGTTCTTGCCGTACTGCGCGAGACGGCGGGTGACCTGGTCGGACGACAGGCCCGTCTTGAGCGAGGTCGACAGCTGCATGGCGACCTCCTCGGCCGGGGTGGTGTGCCAGTGCAGGTCGGCCAGGTCGGCGACCGTCTTCTTCTCGCGCTTGTCCTTCTTGTCCTTCTTGTCCTTCTTGAGGGGCGCGCTCTGCTTCTGGGCGTACTCGTCGACGTCAATGGACAGCGTGCGGTACTGGATGGGCAGGGCGGCGGCGGCGTCGATGGAGTTGCGGCGGGGGTGCGGCCGGATGGACAGCGAGCCCGCGGAGCGCTCGCGGCGCAGGGCCGGGCGCGACGCGTTGTTGGGACGGTCATCGACGATGGTGATGCCACCGCCGCCGCCAGTGACAGGAGTGCCCGACGTGCCTCCTATACCAGCCTTGCCGGCCTCTTCATCGACGGCATCGCCCTCAAAGTAGATGCGGTCGCCCGTCTTCTTGTTCGGGACTGCCATTTTGAGTGTTTCGTCTTTCAGTGGTCTAGTACCTGAGAAGAAGGAGCGGTGAGGGCTCAAACGGGTGGGAGGAATGAATGGTACAAGAGAGAGAGTGTTCCAGGCAAAGGAAGCGAGGAAGGGGAGGCACGAGGGGAATCCGAAAGAGGAAACAGAATGGAATGGCAGGTCAGATTCAAAGATGTCCGATGAAGAAGAAAACGAACGCAAGAGAAAGACAAAATGAGTTGCAGCAATACCGGTGGTGATGGCCTTTATAGGGATGGGAAAACCCATGCCACATTTGCAGGCGTCGGCATGATATCAGCGGCCGCAAGAGTGAGCACACGGTGGCATACAAAAATTATGTGCACATGTATCTCTCTCGTGAGAATGCATCACGGATGTACAAGTGACAAGAGGGCAGAGACAGGACAGCCAGGTGGTGCGCAAAGCGGCCCAGGGGAGAGGGCACGATGAGGTCTCTAGAAAAATACGGCCGGTCACCAACACGCGTGCAGACGGGCATGTGGTGATGGGCAAAGAGGGACACAGAGAGCGCAGTGCCACACCATGTAAGTGGCATGGCTATGGCTACCAACGGCGCCTTTCCTGGGTAGGCAGTCAGCTCCCGTTGCAGTCTTTCTTTGTCTGGTCACATTGGCCTTCGTCTGTTGGCCTTTTGCTTTGGTATTTGGTGGCAATCTGTCACTTCTGTTTCTGGCCACCCCTCGTCCCGGGCGTTTCTCCTCTTTCTTGCAAGTGGGCTATAGAGTGCAGGAGGATCTGTTTCCATCTCGCTTGCTCTCGCGATCGGGTTGGTTTCTTCATGCCCTTCCATTTCTTTTTCTTTTACTCGATGTGCATTTTGCCGTATTTTTTATTTTCTTTTGCGCCGCCCTCTTCTCCGTTTCTTCTTCTCGTCTACCACAAATTTTCTGTGTCGAGAAAGGACCACAAGACGAGAATTAATCAAAAAACGCAACGTGGTGGAATTCAAAAGCACAGCCAAACAAACAATAGGGGGACGACAGGGAAAGGCGAGAGAGGAGGAGGAATGGGAAGAGGGGCGTGCGAGATGCCCATAATTTGTGAAATTCGCTCATACAGACAGAGGGGCTGGAAGGGAGATTACAGGGTGCCCAGGAGGTATGACAGGACCAGATGGAGCCGCGCTACAGGGCATGCTAGTGTCTCTGCAGTGTCGTCTGTGTCGCCCATTCCAGACTGGCTTGCTTCCTACCACCTAAACAAATAGCAGTAGTCAATTGTGCCCCCTATAATGCCGCATTTGGCTTCTGAAAGGCCCGCTGTTTTGCTAGCTTTCCCCTCGTTGTAAGATACCCACTGTTCTAGTGAGGTATCTGTGTTTTACCGCTTGTTCGTGTTCTGTCTCTTCTTCTAGCCGCCTGTAAATACCTTACGCTCCCCATCTTGCAGCGCCTGTTGGCTGCTCTGCCTCCCCTACTTCGTAGCCGTCAAAATCCGCAGTGTCTCTCGTCAGCCACTTGGGCTTCGTTAACTCTGACTGAGGGCAAAGCCGGCTGTAGCCACAAACCACTCATCGTTTTGACCCGCAGACGTGTCTGGAACAAGTTCTCCTTTGGCCGTCGCCAAACGTATTGCTCATACCCGCTGTTTAAGGTCTGTGGTTCAGTACGTGGTAATTACCACTTCAAACACCGTTCTTCCTACCTTTTTGCGGGCGGCCTCCCGTCTGCCATCAGAGAGGAATTACCATCAAGACCACATCATGCCATGCCGGGATGCTGCCGTTTCCCCGGTGTGGGAGGGAAAGGGCGGGAGCAGTGCTTGCATACATGTAAGATTAACATTGCGATATATTGCTGTTCACAGCCAGACAGCGTACGCGGCGCTGTAAGAGTGCTGCTGGAGATGTAAGCTGAGAAAGAGCAGCCACTAACACCGACACGCTAGAACGCTAGAGGAATCAATTAATTACGCCCTATGGCCTCGAAGGGACATCGCTAGGTGCAGCGCTATGGGCGCATTTGGCATTTGGCGCATGGGTGCACAGGCGACGGTCGCAGAGGTTCTAGACGTGCACTTTGGCCAGAGCTGACGTCACACCAAAACAGTCGCTGGGGGAGCGACTTGTGTCTCATGCGACTTGTATTCTGGTCCCACTGCCATGCGCCGCTGTGCAAGCGATCCCGACTTACACGGCCGCGTTCCAGGTGACGAGATTGCCTACAAACAGGTGACAACTGATGAAACGGAAAATTGGAAATTGAAACGAAAGTCGAGAGGCTGTGTCTGGTGCGGCAAATTTGCCAGATAGCGCTCCCTACCAAGTAAGATGGGCCAGGCCTGGCCATTCTTGCGTGGCGGCCTGCCCGTCGCAGCCAGCCTGCCAGGCCAATTTTTCTACTTGCAGCGTATCAATATATATCGTAAATGTACGAAGTACAGCCACCCGCCATTGAAGAACTGCTACGGAGCAGCTGCCGGCGGATTGTCTAGCTCGTCTGCAGTGCCCAGACTGTCAGCTTGTCCCAGACAGCCAGAGTGGCATCTCTCATTGCCTCCTCCGCCCACCCAACCAACGGTCGCCGATCCTCGCGGGTGGTGACGGGTGGCCAAGCCTGGCCAAGCCTGGACAAGCTCCATGTCAGTTTGTTGCGAGGCACAAGCCGTTCTCTTCTTCCGTCACACGCGGCTGACCCACACAGCTGGTCCCTGGCTTGGGCCATGTCCCGACCTGCCTCGTCCTCGTTCTCGTCGACGGCACCTACACAGTGCGCCCTCTGGCCTTCAATATCGAGCATGCAGCATTGTGGCGGATCTGGACTGGCCGAAATCCCTGTACGTTGTGGCCACGGCTCACGTCCACTGCAGCTCGCCATTGTGAAGCGAGGCACTCTCATTCGCCGTGTCTGCCAGCGGCCTTGTCCAGTCCCGTATCGGCAGACCGTCCCGTGTGGGAAACGCGGCGAGAGCATCGCGAGACCATCCCTCCTTGACAAGTGCTGCAAGGAGCTATGGGCATCCATCCTGCAGGACGAAGAAAGCAAAAGGAAACCCCGTCAGAAAACCAAAACAAAGAAGAAGAAAAAACAAGCTTTTCTTAGTGTGCTTTTCGTAAATCTCTCATGCCGTGCCGCGTCCAGCCATGTCGCACAATCACACCCCCCTTCCCTTTTCCTTGATGCTTACTTCGTACTTCTCTGCGACCTGCTCGGCTACCTGCCACATGCGTCCGCGTGCCCTAGTCATCCACCATCGTCTGGCTATGCCAAAGTTGCTGGAGCTTTGCGATTCCAAATGTAGCCACATACGACACTCAACGGCCTGTCTACTATCCAACTAGAATTGGAAAACAAAGGTACACCTAGGCAAACGCCCGACCGTGTTTCCCCTTGTCCCTTCCTCTTGCATCCCTAGCCCCGGCCGTCGATGGTATTCTGCCATGTTTTGTTTCTGTTTGGTTATTCCATAATTGGCAAGCCTATTGTAGCATTTCTTGCGTAGCCGCAAGAGGTGCCCCAGTGTCTTCTGATGGATGCTCGCTAGGGAACAAAACTCAAAGGGTGCCATGATTGGACGGAGCCTGCATGCCTCCATCCTCGCTCGCCCTCACTGCCCTTCTCTCTCTGGCTTTCCTAACACCCGTCGACCTCCCACTTCCTCATCCTCCTGTTCTCATCTTCTTCCACTTTGTCCATGTTCTATGGGATATGTTCTTGACAATGGCCACGCTCTACTTGTCTGCCACTGCCTCCATCCGTCTTACTCTTTCGTATATCCCGTACATCATCTGCACATACAACGTCCTTTCACCGCTGCGGATCGGGTGTCCGTTAATGAGGCCGTTGGAGGGAGTCCTCAGGATGAAAAGTGGTGCTCAGGGCTGGCGCGTTGCGGTCTGGTGTCTTGATACCAGCTGCTCAAATAGCCATGAAGAACAAGACCAACAAAACGCAAGGTCGCCAAGGACATTGGCACGATGCAGCACCATCTTGTTTTCATTTCCCCCTGATTTTTCGTATGCTTCTTCGTAATGAATGGCCATGTTTTGGCTACGATTCCGGATGCTAGGTTGTAGAGGAATAAACAAAGGCGAGATGCAGAGAGTGTCACGTCGGAACATTTACTTGCCAGGCAATGATACTCCAAGCTCACCTTTCTCATCACATGCCTCCTTCGTTTGTCTTGCGAAGATGGTTGGCTCAAGATGTGAATGGACACTCGCCGACTTTTGTCTTCCCTCTCCGCATGGACATTGTATTTTTCTCTCTTCGTTTCATCATGCCATTCGTATTCTCTCTGTGCTTACGCGAGCTCTCTATCTTGTCCAGGCCATCGCCGTCTACTAGAGCTGTCGTACTTCTTGTTGGGTTTGGCCGTTCAGTTTTCGACTATTCGTCTTCTTATTACAGCTGCACTCTCATACAGACCGCAATAGACTCAGGACTTATCTCACATTGTCCATATATCCATGCAAATACTTCTCGGTGAGGCACATAATTTTCCACTGCCACCCGCCTCCAGCCCAGCAACCTTCGTCGCCATCGATCTTCGAAATCAACAACGTAGAAGATCCATAGACAACCCATCTTTAAGACTTGTGCAATACGTTATAGGCCCTCTATTCTTGATACCTTTGTATATTGTGAGTGGGTGTCCGGAAAGCCTCACATACAGGTCCAGCCTGTTGATGCAGCTCAGGCTCAGAACAATTGACGACAGTCCTAACGAAGTGAGAAGAAGGCATGAAAGAAACGATCTATATTCCAGGCAACAAAGGAAGACCTACATTTCATATCACCGCATGTGTTCAATGGCCATCCTCACCAGCCGCGCGTCGTCTTCATAACAGGGTAATCAGGAGAGAACAATACGAATCTGCCACTCAAGGATCCATTGTCTTACACGATTGCGGTTACTTTTTTTTTTTTTTTTTTTTTTTTTTTTTTTTTTTTTTTTTTTTGCTTCTCATTATTTTCTCCTCCTCTCTCCCGGCTTATTTTGTTTCGTTTGATTCCCCTCCGTGCGTCTGTCTGTTTTGTATCACGCCCTTGTTTCGTTTCAGCATGCTTCAGTCCGCCGTAGTATCGCGACCACCACAAAAGACGAGTGAGTGTTTCGGCCAAGGCTGTGCCTGGCGTTGGGCGCCCGCTGTGACCGGAAACTGCAGGCTAAAGCGCAATGAAGTGCGCTACAGCCACAGGGGCAAACAAAGGAAATACCGGTGCCTGGGTGATCCTAGGGCGGTGTCAGCCGGCAGAACTGCCGCCCTCGACAATGGCATCCCCAAATTGCGTGGCGGATGAGGTCACATGACGCTCCATTCCCGATCAAGATAAGCCCGCATTACCCAAAATGGCTGTGGTGGGGGAAAGAGCGTTGGGTAGCACCTGCTTTGGGTGCTGTTGCTGTGCGGATCGTTCTTGCCAGCAATGCATACGTCGTCGCCCCCCCCTGTGAGTGTGGCGTTCGCTATCGGCCACCAGGCATCACCGTTTTCCCCCAAACGACCAAACGACCTTCCACCACCAAAACCCACCACCTCAAGAAAAAGGCGTCCGGATCCCTCACGTCACACTCTTCACCTCTCCAATTGCTGCGCTCGTCGCTCCTGAATCTACATTCCGCATCACACGCCCTTTTGCTGTCCCCTGTCCCGGCAGTCCTGTCTCTTACAGACCTCTCCCCGTGCACATCGCCAGCTTCTAAAGCTTCACCGACAATAACAAACAACAATCGGCCCCTCCTCTTTTGATCGACCCGCCTCTATCCTCGGCCGGTCACCGCTCCCACCGAAGACCTCCGGTCCTTGAGTCTGATAGTCCAGATACCGGCACCAGCCCAGTCGCGCCCTCCCCCGGCGTCCCTGCCTTTTGCCCCTCCCCCTGAACAGCGTCGAGGGCTATTTCGATCTCCTTGCGGCCTCGCTTGCCCTTCTCTCCGATTTTCCTTTCTTGTCGTTCCTCCACGCCCAGCACCATACAGCAATCATGTCGGGCCAAACCAGCCTGGCCACGCCGGGTGGCATTTCCGATCCGGCCCTGATCCAGTACGTACTTTAGTGTGTCTCGACTCGTGTTGTACTCCGACTAACATCTGCCCAGGCTTGTCAACAAGCTCCAGGACGTCTTCGTGACCATCAACGTCAACAACCCGATCGATCTTCCCCAGATTGTCGTCGTCGGCAGCCAGTCGAGCGGAAAGAGCTCCGTGCTCGAGAACATTGTGGGCCGTGATTTGTGAGTAGAGCTGACCAGAGCGCGGCAATGACTGACGACGACGGCAACGGACCCCCCGAAACTAACACGCTCCAGCCTTCCCCGAGGATCCGGCATCGTCACACGGCGGCCGCTCGTGCTGCAGCTCATCAACCGCCCAGCAGGCAGCCAGGTGAACGGCGTCAAGGACGACATCGCCAACACCACCGACAAGGCCGCCAACGCCGACGAATGGGGCGAGTTCCTGCACATCCCCGGCCAGAAGTTCTTTGATTTCAACAAGATCCGCGACGAGATCAGCCGCGAGACCGAGGCCAAGGTCGGCCGCAATGCCGGCATCTCCCCCGCCCCCATCAACCTGCGCGTCTACTCGCCCAACGTCCTCAACCTGACCCTCGTCGATCTGCCCGGCCTGACCAAGGTCCCCGTCGGCGACCAGCCCCGCGACATTGAGCGCCAGATCCGCGACATGGTCATGAAGTTCATCTCCAAGCCCAACGCCATCATTCTCGCCGTCACCGCCGCCAACCAGGATCTCGCCAACTCCGACGGCCTCAAGCTCGCCCGCGAGGTCGACCCGGAGGGCCAGCGCACCATTGGCGTCCTGACCAAGGTCGATCTGATGGACGAGGGCACCGATGTCGTCGACATTCTGGCCGGCCGCATCATCCCTCTGCGCCTCGGCTACGTCCCTGTCGTCAACCGCGGCCAGCGCGACATTGACAACAAGAAGCCCATCCAGATGTCCCTCGAGGCCGAGAAGAACTTTTTCGAGACGCACAAGGCGTACCGCAACAAGAGCTCCTACTGCGGCACGCCGTACCTGGCCCGCAAGCTCAACCTGATCCTGCTGATGCACATCAAGCAGACCCTGCCCGACATCAAGGCCCGCATCGCCGGCTCCCTGCAAAAGTACTCGGCCGAGCTCGAGAGCCTGGGCCCCTCCATCCTGGGCAACAACGCCAACGTCGTGCTCAACATCATTACCGAGTTCACCAACGAGTGGCGGACCGTCCTCGACGGCAACAACACCGAGCTGTCGAGCACGGAGCTGTCGGGCGGTGCCCGCATCTCCTTTGTGTTCCACGAGCTGTACTCCAACGGTGTCAAGGCCATTGACCCCTTTGACCAGGTCAAGGACGTCGACATCCGCACCATCCTGTACAACTCGTCCGGCTCGTCGCCCGCGCTGTTTGTCGGCACCACCGCCTTTGAGCTGATTGTCAAGCAGCAGATCAAGCGCCTGGAGGAGCCCAGCCTCAAGTGCATCTCGCTTGTCTACGACGAGCTCGTGCGCATCCTGACCAACTCGCTCAGCAAGAACCTGTTCCGTCGCTACCCGCAGCTGAAGGAAAAGATTCACGCCGTCGTGATCGCCTTCTTCAAGAAGGCCATGGAGCCCACCAACAAGCTGGTGCGCGACCTCGTGTCCATGGAGGCCTGCTACATCAACACGGGCCACCCCGACTTCCTGAACGGCCACCGCGCCATGGCCATTGTCAACGAGCGCCACAACCCCTCCAAGCCCGTCCAGGTCGACCCCAAGACGGGCAAGCCGCTGCCCCCCTCTGCCACGCCCGCCCGCGCCGCCAGCCCCACGCTCGACGGCGACAAGGAGAGCGGCTTCTTTGGCAGCTTCTTTGCCGCCAAGAACAAGAAGAAGGCCGCCGCCATGGAGGCCCCGCCCGCCATGCTCAAGGCGTCCGGCACGCTCTCGGAGCGCGAGAACGTCGAGGTCGAGGTGATCAAGCTGCTGATCCAGTCCTACTACAACATTGTCAAGCGCACAATGATTGACATGGTCCCCAAGGCCATTATGCTGACCCTTGTCCAGTACGTCAAGCCCTACTAACGGACGAGTCGCAACCCCCCAATATAGAGACTGTGAGACTGTTCCCCCGCTAACCGCTCCAGATTCACGAAAGACGAGATGCAGCGTGAGCTGCTCGAGAACATGTACCGGACGGACGCGCTCGACGACCTGCTCAAGGAGAGCGACTACACCGTGCGGCGGAGGAAAGAATGCCAGCAGATGGTGGAAGCCCTGGCCAAGGCCAGCGAGGTCGTGTCGCAGGTGCAGTAGACGAAGGCGACCGCAGTAAAGTGAGGGATACGTGGGGTGTGTTGGATGGAATGGCGAGCAAAAGAGTTTTTACAGAAGACGGATAGACAGCGACGGACACCACACCAATGGACGACTTTGTTTCTTTCTGCTTTCTTCTCTTCTTTCCTCCCCTTGCTTTTATCGCCCTCCGTCTTTCCAGCTTGCGGTGCCGGTCCTTTTGCTATTTCGTTACTGTGTTATTTTGTTTATTGCTGGGGGGTTTCATTTTGGTCTCGGGTTCTCTGGACTGTATTCTCCTGGTTTTGAGACTTTGCAGTTGTATTTTGCTTGCCTGCTCTCCCATCTCGACCCCCTCCCGACTCTCTTCATCCACCCTCCCCGTCCTCTCCGATCCTGTCACGTACAAACACATCTACTCCATCTCACACCATTGCTTTACTCTCCCTCTTTGTTGTTGTCACTTCTTTTCTACCTTTTACCCAATTAGATAAGATAACGTCTGTTGCGACATATTTAATCGAACTCGATACCATTTACATTGTTCTTTGTACAAAGTCTCGTACACGAACGACAAGCACACGTAGACAAGCAGAATATATCTAACCAAGTATAGCCAGCATATATGTATTACAGTATGTACTCTAAATTATTCCAAAAACGCTTGTTTTCCTTCATTCTTCCCCCTCATGTGGCCGTTTATAACCGCGCCTTGTCGGCACCCTTGAGCACGAGACCGCCGTTGGTCACGTCGTACTCGGCGCCTTTGGTCCACCCACGCCACCGCTTCAGCGCATCCTCACCGCCCTCGCCCGGCCGCAGCGCCTGGCCTTCGTAGCCCTCGCCGGCAACGCCGCTGCCCTGGCCGCGACGGCTGCGCACCTCCTCGCTCACACCCGCTGCCTTGGCCGCGTCCGTCACGGCCAGCAGCGGCGTCGACCGCAGCGCCACGGCAGGGCGGAGGTCACCCTCGCGCGCGCCCGAAGTACGGCCCGCCTCGATTTCTGGGAACCCGAGGACGGGCGTGCAGCACGCGTCTGTGCCGTCAAACACAGCCTCCCACGCCGCACGCGAGCGGCTGCGGAACGCCGTCGTCAGCGCCGCCCGCAGCGCCGGCCACTGCGTGCGGTCGTACCGCCGCGTCTCCCACTGCTGGCCGCCCAGGCCGAGCTTGTCGACCAGGACCTGGAAGAACTGCGGCTCGATGGGGCCAATCGCCATGAAGCCACCGTCGCTCGTCTCGTACGTGTCGTAGTACGGGCAGCCCGTGTCCAGCAGGTTCTGGCCGCGCGGGTGGTCGCCCAGCGGCGTCTTGAGCGCGAAGCGCGGGAACGACGCCAGGTACGACGCGCCGTCCACCATGTTGGCCTCGACGACCTGGCCCTGGCCCGTCTGCTGGCGCGCCGCGAGTGCGAGCAGCACGCCCACGGCCAGCATCAGTCCACCGCCGGCGAAATCAGCCAGGATGTTCCAGGGCGGCGTGGGCTTCTCGCCGCTGCGGCCGAGCACCGAAAGCACACCGGAAACGGCCAGGTAGTTGATGTCGTGGCCCGCCATGTCCTTGTATTTGCCGTCGCGGCGGAAGCCGCTGAGGCGGGCGTAGATCAGGCGCGGGTTGGCGGCATGCAGGACCTCCGGGCCGAGGCCGAGGCGTTCGAGGACACCCGGGCGGAAGGGGTCGATGAGGACGTCGGCGTGGGTGGCCAGCTCCTTGATGAGAGCAACGCCGGCCTTGTTCTTGAGGTCGACAGCAATCGACGACTTGTGGCGCGCGAGCATGTCCTCGGTGATGTCGGGGACGTCAGCGCCGAGGGTGTGGGAGCGGCCCTTGACGGGACGGTCGATGCGGAGGACGTCTGCGCCGGCATCGGCAAAGAAGACGCCGGCAAAAGGGCCTGACTCGTTAGAGGTTGGAGAAGACATATAGGAGGTATACAGAAAAGGAGTGTAGTGAGCATACCAGGTGCAAGGCCGGCAAATTCGAGCACCTTGATGCCGGTCAATGGAGGAACGGTCGCCATTGTGAGATTGTGTGACGATGCGTTGGGAGGTGGTGAAGGCGTAGAGCGTAGAGTGAGAAAAAGGAGAGAAAGACAGAGAGTTACCGTGGAGGAAGAAAAAACAGAGACGAGAGGAGAGAAAACAAAAACAAAGAAAGCTTCGAGGTCTTGGGACGTCGGTCGTCCTTGCTTTCTTTGCTTGGCTTCGGTTCGTGACCTGGAGCTCCTTCCGGATTTGCGGGGACGGCTTTCACTAACACGCAGCGCGTGGATTGCGCAGCGTTAGCAGTCGGTAGTACCTGGAGAGTCGGTGGGCGGAGATGAATAGCCGGGGGTAGAATCAGCTTGGGGTCGCTCGCTCTTTCCCGTTCGGCGTGCTGGAACTCTTGCGCTAGTCTGGTTATTGCAGAAAGAACCTCGGCAGCTCACATGGCAGGAGCCACCAACGAACTGCGGCATACTTCGAAAACACTGAATCAGTTGATGCACGAAAAGAATTGGACGCTCACCAGAAACGTGGATGGTCTCTTTTCTTGTTTAAAGCAGCATTGTACGTCCTTTCCACTGAGTTGCCGTCTGTGCTGTTAAATCTTTGTTCTTTGTCATTGCTCGTGTCGAATTACAATTACGCCGCCCCCCGGCCGGTTGCCTGCTGATGTTTCTTATAGTAAGATATGTACTCGAATTCGATAGAACTCCCTCTCTCTGTATACGTTCTGCTCTCGTTCAGTCACCGCTGATCTTGGCGTGTCGGAAGTACTTCATGCCAATCCAGGCCACCACCACCCACACCCAGGCCATGACGCACGTCAGAATCAGCAGCGCCGGGTAGTAGCCTACAATCGGCAGCGTCGGGTCGTCCTCGAGCTCCGGCGGCGCATACGGCGTCTTGCCCACGTCCCAGGCCCAACTCCACACGCCCAGGCACGAGCCCATGCCCGTCACAAAGACCACCCACGTCACAATCAGCATAACCCAGCCCCACCAGGCCGTCTCGGCATAGTCCCAGTCCGGGTCGCCGCCCACGTTGACGGCCACGTTGACGCCGACAACACCAACACCGACCCCGACCCCGACTCCGACGCCCACGCCGGGGCCCACACCCACCTCGGCAGTGGTCGCGGCCGACGACGACGACGGCTGCTGCAGTGTCGTGTTGGCCAGGTCCGTCAGAGCAAGAGGCGACTTGGCGCGCTGCTTGGGCGGCGGCGGTTGCTGGACGAGCTGCTGGTGGTGCAGCGGCGACGGCTGCTGCAGCAGGCTGTGCGTGTACTGCTGCTGATGATGCTGTTGGTGTTGGAGTTGGTGTTGGTGTTGATGGTGTTGTGCCGGCGGCTGTTCTTGTAAATGTGAGGGGTGTGACAGCGGTGGCGGCTGCTGCGGGTGCTGCTGTGATTGTAGTTGCTGCTGCTGCTGCTGCTGCTGTTGTTGTTGCTGCTGATGCGACTGTGAGAGCTTCCGTTGGTGCAGTGATGGCTTCTGCAGCGGCGCCTGCACCGGCTGCTGCCCTGCTGTTTGCTGTCCCGGTTGCTGTTGCAGCAGCTGTGCCCCTGCGCCACTCCCGCCGCGGCGTCGTTGGAACGAGGGCGTTGCTGGGAATAGGAGACGCCCTGTCGACGCAGGATTGTCGCCATTCATACCGCCCTCGCCGCTCGCCCGCCGTAGTATAGAGGTTGCAGCGACTGCTGCTGCGGTGGCCGCTGTCGCACCCACTCCGGTGCCTCCTGAAACATTTGTAGCCGAAAAGCCAGTGTTGGTGGTGTTGCTGCCGCCGCTGCTCGTAGGGCCACTTTTAGGGGCCATGTGCAGGGCATCTTCATCGTCGGTCGTCGAGTACGGAACGGACGGCACGGTGGGTGGCACTTTTGGCGGCCGGCTTGTCAGCGGTGAGGAGATTGTGCTGCTGCTGCTGCGCCGCCGATCGTGGCGCCGGACGCTGCCTCCTCCAGACACGGCAGAGGAGGGCGAGCCAAGGGTGCCATGGTCCTCGATGCCGTCGATGGAGGTCCGTGGCAGGAGCTTGGATGTCTGCTTTGCCGACTTGGGCGTCGGGCTCAACAGGGCGGCCGCCACGGCCGCTGATGCGGCTCGGCTCGCATAGCCCTCCATCGACGGTCGAGGCGTGATGTCTGAGATGCCCAGCCCACTGCTGCCGCTGAGATTTGCGCCGCCGCCCACACTGTTGCCACCTCCGACAGGCCCTCCGACAATGCCATAACCGCTGCTGCCACCACTAACACTGCTGCCGTCGGTAGCCCCTGAACTGGGAGACGGTACCGAAGAGGCCGTCTTTGACGAGGCCGCCGCCGTCGCTGCCGACACGGCGCTCGAAGGTACAGGCTTTAGGGGTGGCGCTCGTCGTTCGGGCTGGGTATTGCCACCGCGTCCAAGAAGCGCTACCTTTCGCAGCGAGCCGCGTCGTCGCCGTGTCTTTCCTGAGTCCTGCTGCTGTTGCTGCTGCTGCTGCTCCTCGAGGGAGGTTGTATGCGAGCCCGACTGAATTGGCATCTGGTAGGAATGGTGTCGTAGGGGCTGATGCTGTGCCGCACCGCCGTAGTCTAGATTCTGCATCGCCTGGTCGGCATCGTGGCCGGCTTCGTAGTCGCCATCCTGCCGCGGCAAGCCGTGATCGGGACCGGAGCCAAGGCGTGGGAACGGCATGCGCGAGAGCACGCTCGAGCCGCTTGAGCCGCTCGGGGTGCGCCGGTGCGATGGCCCCGGCGGCGGCTGGCTCTTGGTTGGCGATGTGTCCATCACGACCGGCAGCAGCTGTCGTCGTCGTCGTCGAAGCGAGGTCCTCTAATTCGCCATGGCGCAACGCGATTCGCCCGCCGGCGTGGCAGAGTATGTGTCGACAAGTCTCTCAATCCAGGAAACGCGCGAGTTCTCGTTGTAGACAGACCTCGCAGACGTCGAGTGGTGCGTCGGTCGGCGGTCGTCGCGTCGCTGTGAAGTGGTCGTCGATCGGATGGTTTCCTTTCCGCCTGGAGATTGCGCTCTCCTGTTGCTTAGACGTGGATTAGTAGCACCATCCTGGTCGTTCTTATGCGCCAATGCGGGTGCGCGCGACCGCTGTAGGAATGGCCGCTTAGCGCTTTCTGTTAGGTGGCCTTTGCCAGTGACAACGACGTCACTGGACTGGCTCCGCCTGAAAAGTACCTGTGTGCCACGCCCTTTAGGCTCGAAAACATGCGCCAGTGGCCGCTGTTGGACATCTCGGGTAGCCAATTAGCGGCCGCCATTGGGCCGTTTCAAGGAGGCCAGGCCACGCCAGACCAGAACCAGGCCCAGGCCAGCCGGCTAGAGTGACGGAAAGCACATGGGAGGCATGGCCATGTTCAGATGAAACAAAAAACTCGGTGCATCGTCGTTGTGCACGAATTGCACCTCATATCACGATATCCCGGAGGACTGGATCTCTTAGATGGCCCTCTACAAGCAGGAGAACCCGCTTATCTGCATATTGCCAGGTCGTTCTTGCTCCAATAGCGACCAATCCACCCACCTGCTGCTTCCTCCCCTGAACCGATGCGCCGGCTAGGCCCAAAGAAGCAGGGACGGTCCAAAACAAACAGGACGACAAGAGAAACAGGAAAGTGCCGCCCACAGCGTCCCCACAATACGCTGCAATACACCGTATTCCAGCACCAGAACCGCATCCGGCAGCTTCCCTCGCGAGACTGCGCGGCTGCACATTTGCACGGCTTCACAGTCGACCATCAACAGCCCCCTTCGACCAGGCCACGATCCCACCCTCCACGTGGCACATGGCGTCCGGCCCGGAACCGCCCACCCTCTCCGTAACCCTCTCCTCTCCCGTCATCGACAACGAAGCCTTTTTCGGCACCCCGGCGCCCGCCACAGCGCCCCGTCCATGGCCACCGTCCATCCTCCTCGAGCCAACGTCCGACGGCGACGGCAGCGGCGTCCTTGACCTGAGTCAGCTCGACAGCAACGCTGCCGCTGCCGCCAGCGCCGACGACCCCTTCCGCTTCGACGTCCACGACACAGACGCCTACCTCGCCGGGCAGCCGCTCAACGCGCATGACGCGGCGCTGCTGAGACGCAGCCCGTCGCCCTCTCTCGATTTTGCCTCTCCGCCCCCTCCCCTCTCTGGCCCGCCTCGCTCGCCCCGTTCGGCCGTCTTCTCGTCCTCACTCGGCGCGAACCTCCTCAGCCCCGACTCGCACCTCCACGACCGCGGCAGCAACAGCTTCCTGCGTCCTCCCGCCGGCGCCATGGACGACCAAACAGCTTCCTCCTCGTCGCCGGCAAACTCGGCACCCATCAATATCGGCGGTGCGCCGGCTGAGAATCCGTTCAACTTTCAGACACAATACATTTCCACGTCGCCAGTAAAGTCGGTACGTTATTTTTATTTTTTTTTTTTTTTTTTTTTTTTTTTTTTTTTTTTTTGGCAACGGAGCATACAGCCAGGTCGTTCTCCGGCTAACGCTCTTCCTCGGCAGAACATTGGCCTTCGTCGCGGCCATCGATACAAACACAGCAGCGTTTCTGCTCAGCACCAGATCTTCCAAGAGCCACCATCGCGCCCGCCGCCTGTCCTGCCGGCCTCCCTCCCCGTCCCGACCGTGCGTGAGGCCTGGGCAAGCATGCACCGCGACCAGCGCATCCGTCTCTACTGGTGCTTGTGTCACGCTGCCGTTGCTGTCTTTGTGTTTTTGTGTGCTGCCGAGGGCGGCGACAGCCTGGCCTTGACAGCCCTCTCTCACCTGGTGTTCTTCGACGTCGGCTCCGCGGCCGTCTGTGTTGCCGTCGATGTGCTCGGCAACTTTGAGGTCTGGCGCCGCTCCACCATCCGCCACCCATTTGGCCTGCGCCGCGCCGAGGTCCTGGCCGGGTTTGCTATGAGCATCTTCTTGGTCTTTGGCGGCTTTGACCTGCTGAGCCACGACCTCAAAGACTGTCTCGAGGCCGCCGCGGCGTCGAATACGGCCAGCGCCCACGCACATGCCGCCCACGTCCACGCGTACGAGGCTGCCGTGGCCGCGGCCGCGGCCGCCCACCACCCCGTCGTCGCCCCCCACATGGACATTGGCAGCCACAGCGGCCACCACCACACCCGCTACATCCACCCGGGCACCGTCGATGTCGCCGCCCTCGCCGCCTTTGCCAGCACCCTTGTCAGCGCCTACGGCCTCGGCAACCACGCCCGCATCCGCCGCGCACTGCTGCTGCTGCACGGCGTCGCCCCCGTCCCGCGCTTGTCCGGCAAGACCGGCATTGTCGCGTCGTTTGTCTCGTGGACGTCCTCGGCCGCGTCGCTCTTGTCGAGCTTGGGTCTGTCGTCCCTGATGGCCAACCCCTTCCACTTTTTGACCATGACCGTGTCGCTGGTCCTGCTGGTCTTGCCGCTCATGTTTGTCGCCGTGCAGACCTGGCTCGACCGGCTGCTGTGCGCCACCATTGCTGCGTCCATGCTGCTGCTGGGCGCGCGTCTGGCTGTCGCGCAGGGGCTCATGCTGCTCATGTCCTACTCGGGCAAAGAGGGTGGAGGAGCAGCGGCCGGAAGGCCAACCCCGTCCTTGCAGTCCACGCCTGTGCTATCGTCGTCGTCGTCGTCGTCGCCGCCGCCGCCGCCGTCGGCCGCATCGCCCCTGCAGCCGTCCCTCCCCTCGTCGTCTGCGCCCGTGTCGGTCGCGCTCGAGAAGAACACGCCCACCGTGGCCTCGGTCCTCGACGAGATCACCTCGGCGCCCCAGATCGCCCGTGTGGAGGAGGCCCAGTTCTGGCAGGTCCATTACGGGCTGTGCATGGCCAACCTGCGCGTGCGCGTCGCCCAGGGTAGCGGCGATGACGATACCCTGCGCCAGCTGCGGTCGCGCATTGCGCGCATTGTGCAGAACCGTCTCGGCGAGGGCTACGGCCGTGGCAATAGTTTGCGGTGGGAGGTGACGGTGCAAACGAGTGTTGACGGGAGATGACAAAACGCGGGCAGAACGGAAGACAACCAGAGAAGGCAGTCTACGACTGGATCTCACTTTAGGAGGTCTTATTTATGATTTGTTTGCATATACATTTTGTAGTTTTACCATAACCCCTATATATTTTTATTTTGGACTTACTTTTGTTCAATCCCACTTGCACTGAACACGTTTTCTGCACACTCGTACCAATCATTGCTTTCAGGACAAAAATCTATTCAACTGACATACATTCAAGGAGGGTATTTGCGTCGTCTTTTGGGGGGGGTTGTATGTGTCGTGCACTGTGTGTTATGTTGTGTTTTGGGTTTTGGGAGTATTGACCTTCCTTTTTTCTTCCAATAACAAACAAACGCGGGGAGTGACAAGAGAAGAGTGGAAGTGTGGAAAACAGAAAGGTAGAAGGGCATAATTCGTCTAAAGAGTGAGGAAATCCGAGGTCCCAAGAGACAAAGAAAGAAAAAGAAAACGAGGCGAGATAGAGTGAAGAAATCTCAAAAATATACATAAGCATTAAAAAGGGGGACAACAAAACGCCACGAAAACTCCCATAAACATCGTAGAGGGTAACAAGATCAGAGAACGTCCTCAAAACAGTCCCCAGCGGCTGCCCGACTTGCTCTTGTCGCCGTGACCGGCCCCGCTGCCGCTCAGGTTGCTGCCGCGCCGAGACTTCTCGCGGCCGTCCAGCTGCCGCAGGCTCTCCATCTTTTCGAGGACTAGCTCTAGCAGCTCCTTGCGGCGGATCACCTCGAGGTGGCGGCGGATCCGGGGGTCCTCCTTGGCAAAGCGCTCAATCTCGTCGTTGGTCAGGTGGCGGCCGAGGCGCTGGTCGAGCTCGCGCGGAAAGTTGTAGTAGAACTCGGACAGCAGCTCGACATTGAGGAAGAGGACGGCGGTGCCGGCGAGCTTGGTAGCAACGGCGTCGAGGAAGACCTCGGGGCAGTAGTACTTGTTCTGCATGGCACGGCACTGCTTGGACTTGGCAGCCAGCAGGCGCATGTTGATGATGTCGGCGCGGTCGCGGAGGAAGACAGCTTCGCGGCCTACACGTTGTTAGCTGATGTTGACGGGCGAGGAAAACCATGGACAGAAGGAAAGGAAAAAAAGGAAAGAAAGAAAATACCTCTCTGCAAAAGAGCAGCACTAAAGCCGCCGGCGCCACTGCGGCCCTCGCCCTCGACGACAACGTCGCCGCGGCGCGCCTTGTCGACAAAGTTGATGACTTCGTTGAGCTTGCGGCGGCCGCCCACGCTGCTCTCGAGCTTCTTCAGCGCGTCCTGGCACGCGGTCAGCTCGTCCTTGAGCACGCCGGCCGAGTGGTCGCGGCCGGCGTCCCACTCGCGCGGCTCGAGCTCAATCTCAAACTTGTACGGCTTGATGCAGTTCTCCACCTGGTCGCTGGTGCTGTAGAAGCGGTCGTTCAGAATGCTCGACGCCGCCTCGACAATGGCCTGGCGCGCAAACGGGTGGTTGACAAAGTTGGACTGCGCAATCAGCTTGTCGACGCCGGCCTGCAGGTTGGTGGCGACGACGTTGGTGGCCAGGCGGCCGATGCCCAGCTTCGTGAGCTGCGACGTCGACGCGTCCAGCTGGCGATGCCAGTACAGCGAGTCCGGGTCGGCCTTGGGCAGGTCGGCCAGGGCGTCCGGCTCCGGCACGGCGGCCGACAGGTCGGTGATGGGCTTGTTCCAGTAGCGCTGGGCCAGCAGGTCGAGCACGCGCTGGTCCAGCTCGCGCTTCAGCAGCTGCAGCATCTGGGGGCGCCCAAACTCCTCGGCAAACTGCTTGAACGAGTGCTTGAACGCGTCCAGGCTCTCGGCCAGGTACGACTCCGCCGACAGCGGCCGGTCGTTGTACTGGACCTTGAACTCGTACGTCGCCTCCTCGAGCTCCTGGCGGATCGCGTCCGTCGTGCCCTGCAGGCTGGCCGACATGGTCTGCTCCAGCACGCTCATCAGCTTCTTGCGCAGCGTCGAGGTGCCGACAGACACGTCCGCGGCCGGGCCGAACTCGAGCGGGTGCGCCGAAAAGTACGAATCCTCGTTCTTGGAGATGAGGTTCATCAGCGCGCTGCCGTCGCCGCTGCTGCTGCTGCCCTTCTTGAACAGACCGCCAATCGACTGCGGCGCCCGCGCCACAACACCCACGTAGCCAAGGCGCAGCGGGTACTGCTTGTCCTGCAGGATCGACGATCCCCGCGTGGCGTCGACCAGGTCCATCTTGGTCACAACACCAATGGTGCGCTCACCGCGAGGGTCGACGCGGCGGCTGGCGCGCAGCGCGGTTGAGTTGGCCAGGTCGACGTCGGCGGCCGAGATGGCCAGGATGACGTTGGGCGGCTGGATGTACTTGTCGCAGAGCTCGGAGATCTTCTGCTTGAGCTCGAGCGGCTGGTTGTGGCCGACCACCTGGATGTACCCCGGCAGGTCAATGAGGGACAGGTCGGGCACGTTGGGCGAGTAGATGGTCAGGTGGATGGGGTCGTCGGAGACGCATTCGGAGTCGGGCACGGCCAGGTTCAGCTCGGTCAGCGTGCGCTGGATGGACGTGAAGTCGCTGATCTTGCGCAGGCCGAGGTCGGGGAACTCGCCGTACTCGGCCTTGGAGTCGGGCGTGTTGACGAGCGTCAGCTCAATGGGCCGCCGCGTGACCATGTTGGAGCCCTTGGGCAGGAACTCGTGGCCGACAATGGCCTCGAGCACCGAGCTCTTGCCCGACGACTGTGAGCCGATCACGACAATGGACGGCAGCGTCAGCGTGCTCGACTGGCCGACCTTCTGCAGGATGTTGCGAATCTCAATCATCTTCTTGGTGAAGACCATCATCTGGTCGTTGCGCGCGTTCTCGGTGCCGCGATCGCGCTTCGCGTCCTCGTCGCTGTCGTCGCTCTCCGAGCTGCCATAGCCGTACGCTGCCGCGCCCGTGGCCGCCGCTGCCGCTGCACCCTTGCCACCGTTGGGCTCCTTGTCGCCACCCGGGCCCCCGCTGCCGCCGCTGCCGCCGCTGCCAATTCCTTCGTGGATGTGCATGATCTTGTCCCAGAACTCGTTCACGCCCAGCTGCTCCTTGGTGTTGGCCCAGCCCTGCTTCGTCTGGCCGGCAACGTCCACGGCGCCGTCCCAGAAGTTGGCCGCCGCACCAGTGACGGTGTCTCGTGTGCTTTTGAATACGTCATAGGCCGAGTTGCCGACCTCTGTGGTTGTGGTTGCTGCTGTTAGCACACGTTTTCCAGGTGTCCATTGTGAACGACGGCGCCATGGGTTTGGAACGAAACGTACGAATGGCCTGGTACTGCACCCAAGCTGCGGCGCCAATCATCAGTCCGCCAAACGTCGCCGGAATCCGGGCAAACTTGAGCACGATCCGCGGGATGAGCCGGGCAAACGACGCATTGCGGACCATGACGGCATTGTGGTAGCCGTTGACGGGGAAGCCCACACGCCGCCGGGCGGCACGGACGGGCGTGGCATCGATCCTTTGCAGTCCACCAACGGGCATCCGCTGGTGGTGATAATGGCGGACGGTGTTTTGGGCCAACCCGCGACGAGCCAGCGGCCCGAGGGCGCCGGCAGCGAGTCGCCGACCACTCATGGTGTCGGTAAGGAATTCTACTGTGTCGTGTCTGTCGTGTCTGTCGTGTTAATCGTGTCAATCGTGTCGTCTTGTCAGCCGTTTCTTTCGTCGTTTATCGTGATTCAAGCCAGAATGCTGGCAACAGCGACAATGTTCGAAACGGCGGACGGCCTGTTCATGGTCTGCTGGGCCCCGAGACGGGCGCGGTTGAAGATGCGGTCGGACACGACGTGTCGCATCAGCGGAGGGATGAAAAATGTAGGCGAACGGCGTTGGTCGGGTCCAAGGCTATGTGTTGAATCGTCACCGTCGAATTATTATTTTTTTTCTGATGCGCGGGTCGTAAGCCGTAATCTGCTTTTGTTTGGCTGCCTTTGGGACGGAGGCCGAAACGGGGGTCGCTCCTGCGTTTTGTGGCATGAATTTGCAGGGATTCCCACCGCCACTTTGCTGAGTCGGCGCAAGGAAGGTGGTGGCAGCCCCGCGCGCTGTATCATCACGTGCAGCCGCCACCGCAATGCCAACAACATACGGTTGGGAGTGACTGCCTCGGTACAAGAATACAATGTCAATATGCAACTATCGGTGGTTTGGCTGGACCACAAGAAACACGAGTACGGCGTATTACGGCATACTCCGTACAGCGGCAAGAAATACAGGAACAAAAAGCGAATTCCGCGAGCATGGGTGTGCCATGTGCAAGTGCTATTTCCTTCCTTCTTGTCCCTCGCGACAAGGCGCCGATGACATGCCGGCTCGGTGTTAAAGCATGGTCTATCCTTGCGCCCATCTGGGGACGTGCGGACAGCTCCGTACAGAATACAGAGAATAAATTAAATTAACTAATAAATATAAATAATAATAAAAGCAGGCAATACATGTCGCAGGCCACCGTGGCACGAGCCGGCACCTATACATTGCCATGCACCACTGCCCCAGCAAGCAAATTTTGTTGCCGCCAGGGCCTCCGGTGGCGTCGCCGGGCCAGGGAAGAACTGTTGCACACGTACAACATACAGCAGCAACTCATGAGGCAGGCTGCAGGAAAGAGCATGGCAACCATGGCGGCGAGGAGCCTGGCAGCGTGGCAGAAGGAGAGCTTTCGCATAATGCGTCTCTTGGCCGTCCACTACGTAGTGTTCAAGGACCGACGCACTACGGAGTATGCACATACCCGGAATTAGACGGACTGGCTGGCGCCTCTATGTGAGCTCCATAAACGGAAGGAGGACCCGGATCTCGATCCATTGGCGACGAGCAACTACGTAGCTACCCTTGTAACCAGGGGAGCTCCCAAGTAGACCAGTGAAAATGGCAGTAGCAAGACGAATGCAAAAGCAAAAGAAGCAAGAGGGACCAGTGATGACTCTGAGTTGAGGTGGGTCGTCAGGGGGCGCGGAGCTTCCGGCTGTGTCGCGACAAGGAAAGAGCGATGGCATCAAGGCCAGCCTGATATCTGCCATTGCCTTCTGCCATTGCCTTCTGCCATTGCCTTTTGCCATTGTGGTTATGTCGCCATCGACTAGCGGGATTCCATCAAAAGCGCAGGCGCCCTGGCGGGCAAAATGCACTAAAACAGTCAGCCTTGCGGCACTCCAATACGATGCCCCAGCCCCTAATTAGTTGGCCAATGCTCGGTAAGGAGCACATTCCAGCGCATCCCCAGCCCCTAATTAGTTGGTGGGCCAGCATGCAGCAGTGATCTGGGGCAAAGCTTAGAAGGGCTCCACGTCCCCCCTGCAGACACTGCAAGGTCGCCGTCCGCTAGGTACTAAAGGCCACTAAATTTCTGGTTGGGACGGGCAGCTCCACTAATTCTAGCGGCTTGGTGTGTCGTTGGCTTCAGTCTTACCCTGTCTTGTCTTTGTCGTCTTCTGACTCGTCTGACTCTTTTTGTTCTTTGACACACACTCAACCACGATCCTCATCTTCTGTGTCTCTTACCCCTTTTCATCGCATTCTCTCGTCTTGCAATCCGTCTTCTCTGGTATTTTCTGCCTGTACATATATATTGTATCAGGCCTACAGCATCCCTCCGCGCATTTCGTCCGCATCGCCACTCTATATTTTGCCTCACTCTCCACGCTTCGCCGACGAGATCCTTTACGCCTTCTACGACCCTCGACGAGCCACGATCGACGTCCGGTCCAAAGACCGCTCGCTGTGTCCGGTAGCCGGCCGCCCGACATGTGCCGCTTCTTGGTACGGCTCTCGCTGGCCTTGCCTTGTATGCCCGCCCTCTGTCTAGCCTATGCTAACACATCCCAGGTCTACAAGGGCAGCGACGAGATCCTGCTCTCGAAGCTGATCCTCGACCCGACCCATTCCATACTAAAGCAGTCTTTCGATGCCCGTCTGCGACTGGTACGTTGATATCTCCCTCGTCTGTTTCTTAGAGCACAACGATTTAGAACACAGTATACCAACACCCCCAGGACACCCGACGCGGCCAGAACAATGCCGATGGCTTCGGCATCGGCTTCTACACCGACCCCAAACTGGGCCAGACCCCCTGCCTCTTCCGCTCCACCGTCCCTGCCTGGAACTGCTCCAACCTCGAACGCATTGCCAGCAAGACCGCCTCCCGCCTCGTCTTCGCCCACGTCCGCGCCGCCACCGACGGCACTCTCAGCGAGGACAACTGCCACCCGTTCTCCCACGGCAGCCTCATGTTCATGCACAATGGTGGCCTGGGCGGCTGGAAGCACATCAAGCGTCGCCTGACCGAGCGCCTCGCCGACAAGTGGTACCATGTCGTCAATGGCGGCACCGACAGCGAGTGGGCGTTTGCGCTGCTCCTCGACACGTTGGAGCGCATGGGCTGCAACCCGAGTGCGCAGCCGGACAAGGGCTTTGGCCCCGAGATTCTGCGGAGAGCCATGCTGCGCACCATTGCCACCATCAACGAGCTGATCGACCAGATCCCCGAGAGCGTGATCCATGCCGAGAACGTCGACACCCGAAGCCTGCTCAACTTCGTGCTGAGCGACGGCCACAGCGTCATTTGCACGCGCTACATCAACAGCGCCACCGACCAGGCGGCCAGCCTCTACTACTCCTCCGGCAGCCAGTGGGAGAAGCGCCCGGCGCCCGGCGACAACAAGGACTACCAGATGCAGCGGCGCGACAAGGGCGCCGACGTCGTGTTGGTCGCCAGCGAGCCGCTGACGTTTGAGCGCGAGAGCTGGGTCAACGTGCCGACCAACTCCATCTTGACGATCCACGGTCAGACCGTCATGGTGCACCCCATTATCGACGCCTACTCGAACCGCGGCCCCGCGCACTCGCGGTCAGCCGCCTTTGTGCAGACCAAGGGCCTCGTGGCCAACGAGAAGATCTCGCTTCTGCCCCGCGCGGCGAGCCCCTTCCCGGTATCCGCGACTCCCGACATCATCGAGCCACCGTCTAAGAAGCTGCACGGCCCAACCATCCCTCTCCATGCATTTCGGTCCCGCCACGGCGAAGGCACCAGCAACGGCACCAGTTGGCCCAATGTGCCCTATGCCTCGACCAGCGCGGCAGCTGGTGCAGCAGGGCTGGTGGCAGTGGGGTCCACGGTGCCTGCCGCGACACCGGCCGACGGCGCATCGTCTTCCACATCCGCACCGCCACTCGCCAGGCAACAATCAGGCAGCTCGCCGGCCCAGGGCAACATCAAGAAGAAGCGTATGTCGCTCAACGAGCTGGAACAGGTGCACGGTTTTGGTGCTGGTGCCGGTGGCTACGGCGAAACGGAGCCGATTACGCCCATCACGCCCGCCGAGCCGCCTCGAAACAACTACGGTGATCCAAACAAGATTGCACGCTTCTTCCCTGAGCTCACCTTGTCAACATAGGGACCTGAAGGGGAGGCACCGCAAGGTGACCCACCTCGTACTGGGCCCGACCCTATCATACTGCCTGGCGGCAGAGGGGCTGGTACACACGCAGATACGGATGCCGACGAGGGTCACTGCGGCAGTATGCATTGTTTTACATGTATAAAATGAAGGGATGTAGGTATTGTCGACCACGTTTTGGGATGGCATGGTCGATGAGCTGACCAGTTTTCTTGTTTGTATTTCTTGTCCGTTTTTCCTTTCGTCTTTTCGCAGCTATGATACTCATGACTCGGGAGTTGAGATGTTTCTTCTTGCAGTCTACTTTTTCCCCTTGTGTGCACTAAGGTCTAGCTTTTCATCTGGCGTTGCTGTTTATCGTCTCATCCATTTTTGTTATTCTGCGTTTTGCACTTATCACCTAGCACATGTGTAACACCAGTACCAACTGTTTCATTCATCCGGAAAAATAGATTTACTATCCAACACTCATGAAATAAGAGACTCGCTAGCCACCATGCTCCTGCCATAATGCCATGAAAACCAAATACGATCGCGTAGTGTACATGCGATGAGCACAACCATATGCGCAGTCATATATCACGTCGCCGCTCACTTGACGCACATCAGTGCCTCTTCACCAAAGGCGGCTGCCACACTGCCCTCACGCTGCAGCATCGCGCCGACCCAAAGCCGCCCACCCTCTACGCTGCGCGCGCCAAACTTGACGACGACGCAGCCTCGGACCGCGGCGGCCGACCACAGCACACCATGCGCCGCTTCCAGCCGCAGGCGTTCCGCACGCCAGGCATCCAGGGACACCTTATCGGCAGTCGGCTCGGGCGTGTTTGTATCCCGAAAGTCACGGCCGCCGAGCCGCGGCAAGGCTGCAAATTCTGCCAAGAAAAACACGCCAGCCGCATCCACCAACGGACCGCGCAAGATCAGCGTGCCGACGACGGCCAGGCCTTGCAACGAGTCGCGGAGAGCGGTCCCTTCTGTCCCTGTGGACGGCGGCAGCGGGGCCACACCGCTGTCCAAATAGACGTGTGCCAGCATCACGGCGTCACGCACGAGCAGCCGGTTCCGATGTGGTATCGGTTTTGTGCCGGCAACGGTCGTGCGACCGCCGCTGTCGTCGCGGACGGCATCGCCCGTCGCAAGCCAGACCTCGTTGCGGCCCTTCCAGCTCGTAAAGCTCCAGTTTTCTCCGCGCGCCGCCCGTCCCTGCGTGACCCAGTCGAGCAGGCAGAGCGAGGGTGCCGTCTTGTCGACGCCGTCGACACCGCGCTCGTCGAGACGCACAACCTGCACCTGCTCGTACAGGCTCTCGGCAAACGGCTGCACGGGGTCCGGCAGCAGGCACAGTCCCGCGCCCGGCGCCACGTCTACGGTCAGGTTCTGCCGCGTGGGCACGGCGACAGGCGCCGCACGGCCGGCGCCCGTGGCCTTGAAGACTTTTGTGGTGCCCTGGGTCACGAGACTGAGGCGCGAGCCGGCCTGGACCTCAATGCGGAGATTGACCTGGTCGCCCGCGACAAGTCCGCCGCCATAGGACAGCATGAAGACGAGAGAGCTCCTTCGCCGGGCTGGGTCGGTCTCGTGCCCATCCTTGTTCGCGGCGGTCGCGGCCGGGGCGCCCACGCGCCCGAGGGTGCCCACGCCGGCACCGGTGGCCGGCGCAATGAGCTTCAGCGGATACTGATAGGAGACGGTGCCGAGGCTGGGTTCGCCATTGGGCGTGAGGGTGGCGACGATGCGGCCGTCGCCGGGGGTGGCCGTTGACGGCGGAAAGGGCGATATCATGCGGGGGAGCTGGCTGCGGACTTCCGACTGTGATATTGAGCCACGGGTCTCAGTCGCACTCACGGAGTGAAGTGAAAGAAAATGAGTAGACACGAAGCTTATTAAGTCTTCTTCTTCCTCACTCAAAAATGCCAATGCTCCCTTCCTTATCTATACTGGTGAGCTCCTGCCGCGTCCTGATTGTGGATTGTCAGTGGTTGTCACCTTAGCTCTTGCCGTTTTCATACAGAACCCCAAGCGATTAGTTCAGTGTAATCCAAGCTGTCATAAAGCGGGAAGGAGCGCTCGTCCCCCACCATATCATTACATGCCAGAAGACGCTAATTAGCACTGTGGGAGCGCTCAAATTGTGTGGATAGCACAGTCTGAACTAGCGCAAGTACTGTGCGATTCACTGAAGAGCAAGGCTTCAGGCACGCTGTTCGAAAATTTCAGGCGTCGAAAGCTCACTAAAAGGCAAATAAGCTCTTTTTGTGGACAGGACTGGTCTCATACTAATTTTTTCATCAACGCCTCTCAGTAACATCAGAAGGGCTGGTTCGCGCCTTCCCTGCCCAAAGCGTTTTATATTGCAGGGCAACTGCCCAAACGATCTCATTGCAATCAGGAGATTCTTTCCATACTTTTGAGAAGTTCATTTGGAAAAGCCTCAACATCATAAGAAAGAACACACGCGGTCAACACATACTCTCAAACAGCCCGCAATGCCCCCTCGCACAAGGCGAGGCGCGCCTGCTCGCGGCGGCGCGGCAGCGGCAGCAGGAAGCAGTGACGCACCAAATCAGGAGACACAATCATCACGGTCTGCCACCGTTCTCGCCGACATACCACCAGTATCGACGCCATCAACATCAGGACGGCCATCGGCCACGCCTGGACCGTCGGGGTCAGGATCGGCCGCGGCACGCTCGTTTGCCTTGAAGCCCAGGGCGGTCCGGCGCGCCGACGATGAGCGCAAAGCTCTGGCCGAGCAGGAGGAAAAAAAGTTCAACGACCGGGCAGCCGAGGACGCACGACGGCGACGAGCCAGCCGGGGACGTGGCGGGCGAGGCGGACGCGGAGGTCGGGGCCGGGGCCGGGGCGATTTTGCCGGTGGGCGTGACGGGTTGGTGCGCCGCACAGTGGCACCAGATGGACCTTTCTCACAAGTGCCGGGAGCGGCGGCCGGCCGAGGCGGCATCCACGACTTGGGCGGGTTTGGCGGCGGCGGCGGCGGCGGTGGGTTTGGAACAAGCGGTGGCCGGGGTGCAGGTGGTGCTGGCGGCAACTTCTCGACAGTATCTGCCAACGCCGAGTACGACTCCCGACTCAACACGGACACGTTCAACGCGCGCGGTGTGACAGACTACGGCGGCGGCGGCGATATCAAAGACGAGGTTGGCGGCGAGGCGAGCGGCAGCGGCACCCACGCGAGCAAAACGGGCGGCCCGTCCAAGCGATCACAACTGCTTCCGATGGGCATCCGGCGCGAGGAACACCGCGAGCCGGAAGTTGTTGTGGCCACGACGGCCGAGCTGGAGGCAGCCGATGCCGCTGCTGCCGCTGCAGCTTCTTTGTCCCTAGAAGAATCGTCCGACTCGGACTTGTTCATTGAGAACAGCGGCGCAGCGGCGTCTAGCAGCCTCCATGACGACAACCAGGTCTGGTCACGAGCAATCAAGACGCAGGGCGGCGTCAAGCTGGTCGGTGCCGACGGCGAGGAGATTGAGGTGACGGACATTGACGAACTGGCCGAGAAGCGGCAAGAGCTGGCGGCGGCAGCTGCCGCACGGGCTGCCGCCGCGCCAGGAACAGCTATCAAGACCGAGGACAGCGACGAGGAGATGCTGTCGCTCGACAGCGTGAGCGCCCAGCCCTCCTCTACCTCCAAAGTAGTGGCCAAGAAGTCCAAGAAGGCCCCCGCCGCTAAGAAAGATCCCGAGGACCTGGCCGTCGAGGAGGGCCTGCAGGCGATGCTGCACGACCTGGCCATGGACCCACCCTCGACGGACCAGCCGTCGATGTCTCTGCCTGGTGCAGGGGACAGTGAAGAGGCACAGGAACAGAAGCCACCGCCCGCACGCGAGGGCCGGCTTTTTCTGTTTCAATTCCCACCTGTGCTGCCGTCCCTCAAGACGTTTGAACCAAGCAAGGACGGCGGCGGGCCCAGCGGCGGCAGTTCTGGGTCAGAGGCGGGGGGGATCAAACGGGAGCCGGGAATGGACGATGATGTTGTCATGCTCGATGGCGTGGTGCCAGCCCCGATTGACCTGACGGAAAACGACAGCACCGATGGCAACAACAACAACAAGGAGAGCAACAAGCGCAGCACACCCTCGGACATTGGTGGCGGTGGCTTCTTGGGCACGCTCAGCATCCGGCAGTCGGGTCGGGCGGAGCTGAGCTGGGGTGGCATGACGTACGAGATGATGCCGGGCACGGACGTGCAGTTCCTGACGACGGCGGTGCTGCTGGAAGAGTCGGACGAGAAGCGCAAGCCGGGCGAGAGCGGCGGCCCTGCTCTGGTGGGCAATGCGTTTGGCATGGGTCCGGTGGGCGGCAAGTACAACCTTGTTCCGGTGTTTAGCGAGGAGGCCGAGTGGGCGGTCGACCCATCGGAGCTGGTGGTAGAGGAAGAGGATGAGGAGTATGGAGAGTAACAAGGAGTACGGAGTAGAATGAGGACGAGATGGAGCCGGGCATTCCTGGGTTGCATTTACATGTATTTTACGGCACACAAAACGGGGACACTTGCATACAGCACGGATCATTTCAAAATAGACAGTCTTGCCCACCAAAGGCAAGGCTACTTGGCAAGTCAATGGACAAATTCAAACAAAAGGTTCGCGGTGCGTCGTGATGATGGGAATGTCGTTGATGTTCGTGCGACAAGGCTAGATGCGCTTGTAAGCGGGTTAAGCAGCAAAGCGATTGCGACTTGCGATAAGCCCGAAACGTTCAGCGTCGTGCCTTCCTGCACACAACAAAGTGTCGTATACCAGGCTGCAAATACGTCTCCTCAAACAGCGACAATGGCCGGACTGGAACACAGACAGATTCGCTATGCAGCGGAGAGCGAGCTGCAGATAGTCGACGTCTGGGAGCTGCCCGAGAGCGAGCGCACGGCAGCCGCGACGAGCGACCGGTACTGGTTCATGTAAGTCGCCCACGCCGTCCAGGCCCCAAAACAGAGACTGTCTCTTGACCGCCAACAACAGATATGTTCATGGCGGCGCATGGCGTGATCCTCGATGCTTGACCGATACGGCCGTGCCGGCGATCAACCGACTGCTGGCCGAGGACCCGCCCTACATGAGTCGCAGCCGCATCGCGGGATTTGCATCCATTGGCTACCGCCTGTCTCCGCACCCCGAGTTCCCACAGGACCCCAAGACGACGCCTTTGGAGGAACTGCGCGCTGCAAAGCACCCAGATCACATAGATGACGTACGCGCGGGTCTGGCGGCGCTGGGCCGCGAAGGATTGTCAGCGGCCGGCTCGCCAGCCGACTACATCGCGCACGACCGGTACATTGTCTACGGACACTCGTGCGGCGCATTCCTGGCGTTCCAGCTGTGGATGGGCGACCTCGGCGATAAGACACTCCCCTGCGTCGTCGGCCTTGAGGGCATATACGACCTTCGCGGGCTGGTAGAGCGAGGCGGCAACCCTGCGCACGGCGGTGGACCCCGGACAGGGTTTGCGTCGGCGCTGGAGGCCATTGCCGAGGGAGCATTTGGACGCGACCGCAGCTTGTGGGACACGGCCAGTCCAGGACAGTACGACTTCTCGACGCTCGCCAAGGCGACGAAACCGCGCCTGGCGCTCGTGGCCTACTCGGACGAGGACGAGCTGGTAGACGGCGGCGAGATGGACACAATGGAGAAAACACTACAACAGGGTGTGGCAAAGAGCAACGGGCAGTTGCGTTACGTGGGCTTGCGGGATCTGCACGGGCGGCACGACGAGGTGCACGAAGACGGACGCGAGGTAGCAAGGGTGTTGACAGAAGCAGTGCGACAGCTGGATCGTCTGTCATAGGCATGAGTGAGAGCAAAAGTATGAAAGTACCCAATCGTATCTTATTAGAGAGAGCGATGTAGAAAACAAGAATTGGTGTCGTGAGTCATAAAATACCCTCGGTCCATCTTTCCGGTCCCCTTCTTGTTTCCCCAAATTCAAGTTTCCAATCTAGCCCGTATCTACGTATACCCCGAATGCCTCAAGAAAATCGAAATTAAAATCAAGAAAAGGAAAGTGGGTAGAAGGAAAGCAAAAGAACTCCCGCTGGTTCGGTAAACCCCATATGTTCGTAACTCGTGACATAAGAAATTAGGTGGACAGGCCCGTAGAGCCTCGTGCCAAAATGCATTAAATATTACCAAGAAACATTGTCTCCCGAGGAGAGAGACCAGATCGATCAGATTCACCGCCGCAGACGCCAGCCGACGGTGTAAATGCGCGTTGCGACCAGCACGCCGGCGCTCGCCAGAGTGGTTGCGGCGCCCCAGACCTGCGCAATGCGGTACGTGCTCGCCAGCGTCAGGTTGTTGGCGCCGCCGTTGGCCATGCCAATCAGGGCCGAGGCCGTGGGAGCGCCTGCGAGGGTGGCCACGGCCGCGACGACGCAGACGGTGCCGAAGCGGGCGCCAATGCGCGAGGACGCGTGCGACGACAGCTCGGCAATGGAGCCGAGCCAGACGCTCTGGACGGCGCCGTTGCAGAGGCCGAAGACGACGACAAAGACGTACATGCCGGCGGTTGAGGTGCCGACGGCGAGCCAGGCAAACACGGTGGCGGCGAGCATGACGGTGGTGATGATGTAGGTGTCGAGGGCGCCGGTCACGGCATCGGCGAGGGCGCCCGAGGCGAGACGCCCGGGGATGCCGAGGGCGGTGGACAGGACGAGGAGGAGGGTGGCCTGGTCGGTCGAGAAGCCGACGACGTCCTTGGCGTAGGTATTGATGTAGTAGTAGCCAAAATAGAGGCCCCAGAAGAGCAAGAAGGTGTTGGCCATGAAGAGCACGAACGGCAGCTCGCGGAACGCGGACCAGTCGACAATCTGGGCGGCAACGGCGGCAAGGCGGGCCGCGCGGGTGCGCGCAAAGCCGGCGTCGAGGTCAGACGCAGGGACGCCGAGCGCCGGCTTCGAAAGCGCCGCCGGTGGCACAGGACGCAGCAAAAGACCGGCACTGGTGCAGACCACGAGGGCCAGCAGCGTCGCGCAGCGCACGGCCCAGCCGAACCCGACGGCCGGCAGCAGAAACTGCACCACGACAGGCAGCAGTGCACCGCCCGCGCTGGTGCCCGTGGTCGTAACGGCGAGGGCCAGCGAGCGGCGCTTGTTGAAGTAGGCGCTGATGGACGGAAGCGCAGGCGCCGACAAGAGGCCGAGACCGACGCCCATAATGACGGCCTGGCAGAGGAAAAGGGCAGGCGGGACCGGGCCGCCCGTTGTTGTAGACGTGGAAGGCACGACCGGCGCGGCAAACGACGTGCCGAGCCCACCGGCCACCACGAGCAGAGTGCCCGCGGCAGTCACGTGCCGACTGTACCCGGCGTCTGCCAGCAGGCCAGAGACGGTCGAGACAAAGTAGGTCAAGAAGGTCTGGACGGAGCCGATCCAGCTGACGGCGCCGCTGTCGAGGCCGAGGGTCTGCGTGTAATGAAGCTGGTAGACGCCAAACATCATGGAGGTGCCCCAGGCGATGGTGTTGAGGAGAAAGCCGGCAACGACTTGGGACCAAGCAATGGCGCCGCCGTCGGGGGCGATCCACGGAAGCGCGGCCTCGCTGATGGGACCAGACACAAGGGCGGCCTCGGCATCGACAAACACGGTCTTCTCGTGCGCATTGTCCCTTTTCGTGGCGGCGTCCTCGCCGTCGTCCTTGAGCGTCACGGCCGAGCCGACGGGGAAGAACATCACCTCGACCTCAGTGGTCGGCGTGAATGCGTCCAGATCGTCGTCGGCCATGCCAGCCATGTCGGGCTCTTCGGGCCTTTCAGGTACGTCGGGTACTTCGAGCTCGTCCGCATCGACAGCATCGACAGCATCGACAGCATCGCCACTGGCGACAACAATGGCAACATCACCAGCCTCGTCGACGAGGGTGATGGCTGAGGCATTGTGTAGCAGTCTGCCGTCGGTGATGCCGCTCGTCTCCATGTCTGTCGACAAGTGGGCCATAAGACGGTGGAAAGAAGTGTCTGTTGTCTGTATGGTGATTCTTGTTAGTAGGCAAGGGGAGTGGCTGAGAGTGCGAGAAAGTGCAGAAAGCGCAGAAATGCGAGAAATGCGAAAATGTGGTGATGATGGCCGCCAAGGACAAAATGGATTTCTTTTCTTCTATTCAGAGGCGTTCTATGGTCAATAAAAATCAAATCCAAAACTTCGTCTGCTTCTTTTGTCTTCTTTCTTCCTGTCCGGACCAGAGTTGATCAACAAAAGGATCATCATATGGGCATCCAGGAGTCTGGTCTTTATAGGTGAGAAAAAGGCGTCCATTATCTACTACCATCCACTTTTTCTTTCCCTTTCGTTTCTTTTTTCTTTTGCCTGTTTCTGATCCGTATCTGCAGTCATTCCATCCTCTTGCAATGTCAGTCTATCATGAACCACCACCATCCTCCCTCGTGCTTTTCCGTTCCTCGGACATGGCTGACTCTAGTTCATACGCATAAGGGCGTATAAAACGAAAAAAGAAAAAGAAAAAGACAAAAGGGATGGGGGGAGGGCGTTGTCGTAGCAAAAAATAGGGGACACGCGGATGGGAGGGTGATGACAAAAGTCACGATAGTTGGACGGCGAGGGGGTAGAGTCAGACAAAGGATGGATGCCGCGGGCGCGTAGCAAGAAAGACGGCGACGAAAAAAGGGCATAACAATAAAAGAGGAGCCGAAAAGAGGAGCGTCGTTGGAGCTGTATATTCTGGAACGCTTTGGACCCTGACAAGTCGAATGGAGCTCGCTCCCAAACGGCAACCAAACGGCACTAGGAAGCGCTCGTAGCTTTCCATATCAAGAACCTTCGGCCCGGGCAATTGGGTCTTGTTACCATTCTGGGCCCATGGGAAGAGGACACGCAATACCTCTGAGAGGTACTCGCCAGTCGGCGTGGGAGGCAAAGAATGTAAAGACTCGGGCAAATGCATCGATAAGTTAAAAAGCAAGCAGCAGAAAACAGTCTATCTTCGGCATGTTGTATTTTATTTTTTGTTTTATGTTATCTGTTGTCAGTTCATTTTTGTCATTCCTCGCCTTCTATCCAAGAAAAGAAACTTCTTTCCCCGTAAAGGCGGTACTTCCAGGTGGCTGTGTAAGGAGGCAAATAAAAGTCAAAATGTACCCCGTCCTGTAAAGAGACTTTCAACATCATAAAAGGAGCCGCGCCATGCAAACGCTTGTCAGCATCGGCCGTTGCAAGGCATCCAGACCATCCCTTGATCGGCATCCGCATCCCGTCGCCTGCTATGTTTTGTCTTGCCTTTTGCTGTTTCTTGTTGCGTCTTGTTGTCTCTTGTTTCTTCTTGTTTCTTGTTTTTTGTATCTCCCTTGCCCTTCTGACTCTCATGGTACCTTTCCGGGTACCTTCGAGGCCATCCTTCACTCCCTTCCTGTCCGGATTCCCATTCATCCTCTTAAGCAACGTTCTTCACACCGCATCGACTGCACATCCACCATTCTCTTATTATCTTTTTGTCTGTCCTCTTTTATTTTCTTTTTTTCCTCGATTTTTCCGTTTTTTGTTATCTTTTCTTGTGTCATCTCCATCAATTTTTTTCGCGTCAGCTGGCTCGATCCATCCCGTTGTCGCTCGACTGTCGGATATGTCTTGACCCGAAAGGCGAGTAGTAAGAGAGTCCGAGGGGGGAGGATGAAGAGTTCACGCTCCTTCATCCCGGCTAACGCATCGCCGCTGGCCATTACCTTTTTGGCAGGTCCACGCTCGGCAGCTGCGGGCACTTGGACCCTTGGACCCTCGGATACTGGGGACACTTGTCCAGGTCCACCACGTAGGTCGTAGAACTGACGTGGAATGAAGAACGTGGACAATGGGGTCACAGAGGTCACGATGGTCACGACGTCCACGATGATGCGCTTGGATGGACGCGGATAGCTCGCGGTAGACAGTATCGTGGTCGCTCTCTGGCCCACAGCTCATCACACGCGGACCAGTGCTCACCGATACCCTCTTCTTTCACAACCGACAACGGAGATGTATGAGCACGGCGGGTGTGACCGTATTTCGATGGGAGGGGGGGAAGGGGTTGGCAGGAAAGGGCGAGATAGCAAAGCAATGGGAGACGGAAAGACAAAAACGACGAGAGAGACAAGACACAGGACGAGAGGGGATACATCGTGCGCGAGACAGACGATGGTGTTGGATGGCGAGGGTGGATTGCGCAAGAGCAAAACACGCAAAATACCCAACCCCGGGGGTGCGAGGAGACGAAAAAAACGACAAGATAACATCGTGAACATCCTTGGTGTGAGTGCCAGAAGAGATGCTGGGGGGATGGGGGTGGACGGAGTGGGAGAGGAAGAGAAGGAGGGGAGGAAGGGTGTAGGCCCTCGGGGAAAGGCGAGGTATGTGGGGATGGGAGAGAAAGATCAGGTCGCTGCGAGGAAGAGTAAAAGAGCAACCAAGAGGAACGGTGGGAAAAAAAAATGCAAGGACGAGAAAAAAAAGGGGACAGAGTGCTAGCTCATACGCCAGCGCATGCACCATCAAGGGAAAAACAGACAAGGAAATTATTATCGAAGAGGTGGGTGAGCCGGTGTTTGCCGGGTGCACTCCGAGGGAGGAGAAAAGAAAGAACATGCGAAAACAACCGGGAGAGTGAGGAGGGAAAGCGAAGCAAAACAAGCCATGGACGCGCGAAAACGAAGCAGAAAAATCGACAAACAGGAGCTCACGATGCGATGCTTTCTGAAAAATACGAGGGGCCTTCGAAAGGCGCGCGAAAACAATATGATAAAATAATGGAGAATAATAAAATAACAGAAGGCAAGCCGGACAGATCTCGGCCTTTGACCAGACCTGGCCCCCTTCCTCCTGGGCACTTTTGGTAAGGTGCTCGGACTGGCAACGACGTGGGCTGTAGCTTTGGGAACGGCAACACAGTCGACCAGGGGGGAGGGGTGTGCAAAAAGACAATAACCACAAAGAAAAGGAAAAGCAACCACGGGTGAGATGAAAGACGAAGGGGGACAAGAAGAAAAACGACAAGGAAAAGGGAAAATGGAAAGGGCGCGAGGGAGAGACACAGGGGCAACAGACGAACAACAGCGATGGGGAGGGGTCAATCCAGAAAAATCAGAGCCTAAGCAAGCTGCATCGCGTTCCAGACCGTTCTTCGTTCCTTCGCTAGCACTAATGTATGACACAAAGACTCAGCACGTCAAGAGTGACTGGGAGCGAGAAACGGATAAGCGGCGACAAACGGCGAATACGAATGCATCCGTTGTACGTCGTCCGCATTGCATCGTAATGTGCAAGGTGGTGGGCGGTGCTTGAAGAGATGGGAAACGATGTAAAAGGTAAAAGGGAGAGCAACGAGGGAGACGGCGGATACGGGAGAAAAAAAAAAGAAAAAAAAAAAAAAAAAAAAAAAAAAAAAAAAAACCCAAAACAGTTTCTCGTCATGAGATCACACGGGAAAGCCTCCGTGTGGGTGGTCATTTGGGCGAACCGGCGTTGGGCAGACTGACTGCCGACGAGAACGAGAGAGAAACGAGAAAAAAAAAGAGGCAGAGTAAATCCGAGAATGGGAACAGGAAAATGATCGCGACATTACGTAGAGTCCGATGCAGCAACTTTTGTCGGCTACGGTGCCGTTGTCACCGTTTCTTATTTTCCCCCCTTTCTCTGTCCTATTTTTGTCGTTGCCACCAGGCGCAATTGTAGGTCAAATGTACGAGTCATTGCGTCTCCTGGTAACTCCGTTTTGTTGCCACACGTTTATGCCGTAATAGAAATCGAATTTTGGATGCCACGGCCCGAAAATGACAAATATCATCGAGATTTCGAAGAAACCATGTACACAATACGTTGTGTCCTCTCCTCCCTCCTTCGCATCGCCCATTTCCGCTGCTTTTCTTGCACATGTCGATGGCGTCCGTGTCTGCGACGGCTTCGCGTTGACGTCTTGTCGCCGTTTGCAGCGTTTCCCTGAGGGGAAGTCGATATTTTCGGCGCGAATTTAAATTAATTCCATAATTAATTCCATAATTACTCCCAATCATCAGGGCAGAAAATGCGACGGAATGCACTAATCCGGATTGGGTTGGTTTATGATACTCTTGTCTCCATATTTTAAGGTACGCGCTAACAAAAGTCTCCAATCAGAAGATAAATATAACCTGCAGCCAATGAAACGCGCTTCTCATTCGTCGACTTGTTCGAAGCTCAAGCGACAAAACAGCATCACAGCTTCAACGTTCGTCAACGACGAGGCTGTCAACGAACTTGTCACGGGGCTTGTCTACGAGTTTACTGAGTTCGGTCGTTCATATGGATTTTGTGATGATTATTCTTTAAATTTGGGCGACTTGTTTAATTTCAATTAATAAATACTTATTTTACAAATTTAAAGTTAAAATACAAGATGTTTTAACGTTATTTCACCAAATGAATTGCCAGATCACACCACTCAACACATTACACGCACACGAAGGAAAATGCCTACAGACGGCACACACAAAGTGCACAGAAAATAAACTCTACCCTATGAGTTAAGGCAAACCCCATCATGTACCAATTACCAGATCAAAGGCAAGCCAGAAGAACCCAGGCCCCAGCAGCCACCCTTTCCCCTCACAGAATCCAGGGCCCAAAGATTTGGTCTTCTTATAAAGCTCTGCAAGTGACAGTCTCAATCAATATCAGTTTGTTTCACACGAATGCGTCGTGGCACAAAACAAAACCAAGGCTTCCTTGCCACACCCGGGGGCTGCAGACCCCGCAATTATCTGTGACATGTGGCGTTTTCCGAAAGGGAAGCATCAAAGGGAGCAAGAAACTTCGATCTTTAAATCATATCCGATGTCGAACATGAAGCTCTTGTCCTCACATGCAGTCAATCATGGTCAGTTGTGTTTCATTGTTTGGGCCACGTCAGCCTTTCTTGGCGGACTTCGACAAACACAAGAGTAAAACAGAGTAAATTTGGATAGAGGGCTGGCAGAGTTCGGAGAAGCACGCAACACAGCGACAAAACGAGACCCTGTTTTTCGCTTTGTACCTTTCGCTCGCACGCAATCCCGGCGTCGCATTTTCCATTAAGAAAACAGAATGAGTTGTCGAAAAAAAGACGGGTGGGACCCACAAAAAATGCGACGGAACGCCCCGCGCCAGCGTGACCCCTCGCATCTTGTGAAGACGGGTGACTTGCATTTGGCTGCCATTTGCTAGTATACAAAGGTACAATTTTTGTACCCCGCCATCACAAAGTGACGAATCCGGCAACGACGCAATGCCCCGCACCAATGAGAAGGCCCACAACTGCGACAACGGTCAACAACGGTCAACAACGGTCAACAAAAAACGGCGGTGGAAGGAATGAACGTCCCTCCGTTGCCCCCTTACCTCGGCACCCAACCCAAATCAACGCCACGGCGATTTGCTATTCACGATACACAATATTTCGACGTCCTGATCACAAACCTCCCAGCATTCTTGCCGTCTTTTCGCCCAAAACGGAAAACCAGCGCGGATGCGACGCCCGCATGCGGTCATCCTACGCGCTACGATAGGGGAGAAAAAAAAGCCGTCGCAAATGAACGGCGGTGAAGAAAGCGCTACCCGACAGGGGGGAAATGGGTGGGGGCAGGCTATTCCTCAGCCTCAGATGTGAAAAGAGAAGGAGAAAGTACTACACCCGTATGAGCGGCATCCCGGCTTGCGGCCACCCCTCTCCGACAACGGCTGTCAGCAAACTGCTGTCCTTTCTCAAGAAAGGCCTACATAAGTAAGATACCGGACCACGGGGAAGGAGAGACGCTGGGATCCCCTGTACGTCACAAATCCCCGAGTCCCGGGGCCATGCTCTAGACCGCCTCCGTCAGGAACGGTTCCGTAGATCCGTAGGTTTTCTTTTGCGACGAGTTGCATTCGAGCTGTACTACAGATGACAACATCAGGTCTTGAAAGGCACACCGTACACAACAAGGAATGGTAATAGAGTTCAAGATTCGAATAGTCAGACTGTACAGACGGAGCAGGCGTGAAAAGTGACGAAAACGAAAGTGCAACAAGAAATACAAAGGCAAGTAGAGGCCACAAAAAAGGCCAACAACAACAAAAAGTAAAAGCAAAAAATAGCAAAGCCATAAACACCTCCCGTGGGGCCTCCGTCCTGGACCCTTTCAAAGAAGCCATACCTTTTTTTGTCTTTCCGCTTTCTTCCTCCGCGCCCTCTAAACCCCAGGACTCCCAGGACTCGTTTGTTGTCCACATTTTTTTTTAGTTGCTGTCTTTCTTTCTTTCTTTCTTTTTTTTTTCTGAAGTGAGAAATATAACAAAGCAATTCAAGCAGAGCAATAAGCGAGCATGAATAATAAAAAGCATAGGACACAACAAGCTTTTCATTCCTCATCCTGCTCGTTTGCACCCGGCTTTGGTTGGACTCAATCTGAGAACCGACATGCCACTGCACTCTTTGTGTATGTGCCCGCGTGTCCTCTCCGTCACACCATGGCTTCTGTTGCATTGGAGATGTCCCGAGAGACAAAGTGAAGCTAGAAAGGATGCCGACTGGGCGGAGTACGCTGCCGCATGTTCGGATCGCTGGGTGATCTTCTTCGCATGCTTCATTCTCGCCGATGGTCTTGCGTCTGTTCTTCGAGGCACTTTGCCGTTCGGTGGTGGTTGTGGCACGCCGTAGACCTAAGGCCGCTGCACAAGATCACGATCTGATGTCCAAGCCCACTTTGAAAGATAGATAACGGAGCAATCGTGGTCAACTAAAAGAGACAAGGAGGTAGAGAAAAATTGAACAATAAGAAAGGAATAATAAACCAGACATATAGGAAATAGTAAGAAAGACACCTCGTGAACACCATCCGAATCCGTTGTTTGCTCATTTGCTCGTGTTGTTCAGAAATAGGCGCAACATGCTACAGTACCATTTCCTCAGAGGACTGATATCTGTATTACGTGTGCCGCATGTCCGTTTTGGCCGTTGACCGCCCTGACAGCAGGGCAAAAAAAAGGAACATAGGAAAAGTGACGACAAGAAAACAAGGAAAATCAGATAGAAAGCAGAAAGAATCAAAATCAAAGCAGGTCGCAAACGCCCCGTCGCTCTGCCAAACACGCAAAATTTTCGCATAGCATAATGGGGCCGAGATAAAAACTGAGCCAACAGCACGAGTTAAAACGTAGGAAACAAAAACAGAAAACAGAGTAGAAACACAACAGTGGGAGAGTGAAAAAAAAAAAAAACAATTATATAGAGACATGCATGCACACCCGCGAGACGGTTTACCGCTTGCGCTTCTTGTTTTTTTCAGAGCTGGCTGCGATCAGAGCCGGAATCGTGGGGGCTATGATAGGCGTGGAGGAGATGTGAGCCGGCGGGAGAAGGGCGGGCAGCGTCTTGACTTGCTGGCCCGGCTGAGACTGTGAGGGCAACTGAGGCGGCAGGATCTGCTGCAGCTGTGGGAGCTGTGGCGCCAGCGTGTTCTGCTGAATGGGTGCCTGGATATGCGGAGCCTGGTGAGACGGCGATGGGATGGCCGTCGGCACATAGTTGTGTGGCGACTGGTGGTGTTGCGTGTGGGGGACAGGCACCTGCTGGGGTAGCTGCAGCAGCTGCTGGGGTGGCGGCGGCGGCGGCGGCTGCATAGACGTAGAGGAGGCGCCGCCTGCCGTGTTCTTCACGGGAACGCCCATGTGCCGGCCATAGCGGCCCTTACGTCCATTGCCCTCGTCTTCGCTGATGCACAGCTCGGCGGGAATACCGGCATCCCGGCAACGGCCACAGGGGCGCTGGCGATCGCAGCCCTTCTTGCTCTTGCGGCAGCGCTGGCAGCGTGGCTTGCTCGAGAGATCTGCAACGTCCTCGTCAACGACGCCTCCAGGGCCAGCAATGGCACCGGGCCCGGCAGGAGCGGGAGGCAGACCACCGGTGGAGGAGACGGAGAGCTTGCGCGACGGCGGCAGCGAGGCCGGAGACATGGGCACACTGATGGCAGTGGCGGCACCGTTGGCCTTCTTGCTCTTGGCGGCACCATTGGTGGTGGGGGGCTTCGCGCTGTTTGCGCCAGGGACCTGCACGGTGTTGCTGGCCGCCTTGGCCTTGCTGGCCTTGGGCTTCTTGGAAGTGGCCGTAGCCTGTGGACGGGCCTGCTTGGGGCCGCCACCGTTGGCAGCGTTTGCCTTAGTCACCTTCTTCAGCCTGGGCGCGGCCATGAGGCCAGGCATCTGCATACTATCCTTGTAATCGGTATCGGCGCTGTCGTCATCAGCGGGCTCCACGGACTGGTAGATCTTGCGGCTGGCCCCATCCAGATCCAGCCTCTGCTTGCGGTGAGGCGGGGCGACCTCCTCCTCGCCATCGTCATAGTCCTCGCTGTTCTCACCGTCGCTCTCGCTCTCCGAGTCACTTGTCGCACCGGTCGACGACGCGGCATCAGCGCGGCCGCTGAAAGTATCATCTTGGGTGGACGTGGACGTGCGACCGTAGGAGATGTTTGAGATCTCGCCGAGGCGCATCAGCTGCATGGCAACGTCCTTGTCCTCCTCCGACATGGAGCTGACAGTTGGATCGGGGGTGGGAAGAACACCCACGCTGCCGCCATTAGCACCGTTGTGGGGGTAGCCAATGCTAGCACGTGTGCGGCGCACGTCAGAGCCCGGTGTGGCGTAAACGCCGCCTTGGCCAAAGTGTGTGTTATAGTGCTGTGGCGAGTGCAGGGCGCCAGCACCGCTGAAGGGGTTCTGGCCCGGGTGGACGTAGGGGAGGGAAGGACGTTGGTCGGAGCGACGGGCAGGAGACACCGAAGGATTTGAGGTGGCCGCAGGCATTTGCGGGGGAGCGAAAAGCGGAAGTTCCTGAAACGAGGCGAGCGGTTAGTGAAAGTACAAGGAAACATGGCGACGAATAAAAAGGACGATTGCTGTCTGATGCCAGTCGCCAAAAAGCAAATTAAAAATGATTCGACTTACTGAGCTCTCGAACTTGGCCCGCTTGCGACGGCCGCCCTCGACAATGTTTTCAAGGCTGATGTCGGTGTTTCCAATGGGCTGCTGCTCCTTTGCTCTGCCATTGTTAGAGCCAGGAGCGCCATCGCCGCTGCTGTAACCAGCCATGCTGTCGGGGCCATAGGCATCCGACTGCTGGCGGTTCTTGGACGAGCGCGAGCGGTTCTTGGAGTTGGTGCTAGCCGAGTCACTGCGACGGCCGCGGTTGCCGTTCGGCGACACACTGCGCTTGCGCGACGTGCGAGAGCCCGGGCGCGAGATGTATTCGCCGTGCTGCTCTTGTAGGTGGTGGAAATGCTGCAGCGACGAAGCGCTATGGCCAGGGTAGTACCCATTGGCCGGCGGATGGCCGCCATCCGCGCCATTTGGATAGGACAGGTCAGACGGGTTGGCGCCATGGGCAGCCGCCGGGGGCGATTGGTAGTTACGTGAGGCATAGCCGCTGGGCGACAGCGCTGGCTCTTCAATGACGCGCACGTAGACAACCATGTTGTTGCGGAAGTTCTCGTAGCGGGCAATCATGGTATTGCCAGCCTCGTCCTCAAAACTGACGCCCTTAGAGCTTGTTGGGCTTGAGTACAGGCCATAAAAGTTCTTGACAGTAGTGACAATCGAGTCTGTGGCATCATGGGGGTAGATTTGCACCCGCATGGGCAGGCGAGCCGTGGTGTGCGGTGAGTCCGGCGAGATCAGCTGAAACCGAACCGTCTTGGGCTCAACAGCAGCCGACGAGGCAGCCGACGGCGACATGTGAGGAGACGTGTGTGAGTAGTCCATTGTATGGAATATGAGAGACAGAGAGAAGCGACGTCCAGAGGAGCCGTCTTGAAAAGATGTGGAAGGGTGTGTATGGGAAGGGTGGTTCGTTGGGGTATTCTTTGTTTCGGTTGTCGTTCCCGACTCTTTATTTTTTTTATTTTTTTGGACGCAGCGTCCAGGCTCTGCACAAATGCGGTGCCCAAAAAGGAGCCGTATGTCAAAAAGACAGGGAAAGAGTGCGAATGGGAAGAAAAAGAAGGAACTGTCGGCGAATGTGTGCGGCGATGGAAGGAGGGCAGGAGCGACGTTGGCAAACTGGGCCACAGCGTTTTGGGCCAGCCAGTCAACGGCGGCAGGAAGGAGCGGCCTGGTGGCAGTCCTTGCTAGTCCTTGTTCTCTGCGACGCCTGTTTGGAGCGAGCGCAAAGCCAGACACCCAGACGTCTCGCTTTACGCTTGTCTCTTCCCGTCGTTCTGTCCGTTTGTATTTGCTCTTGGTTTCGTTGCGTCTGGTCGTCGCCGTCAGACCACGGCAACGGGCGTCACCGCTTGTAGAGAGGCAGCCGTAGCGGCCGGTATGGGAGGAATGAAATAGGTCGCGGATGCAAGTGATCTTTTCAGTATCTGGAAGACAAACGAGTAAAATATTAGCACAGGCTGAAAAAGACCACAGAAAAGAAACAGATGCAAAGAAAATGACAGTCAACGGCCAAGGCGAGAGAGTTGATGGCCCCGGCTGGCGGCTGTGGAGCAGAATGGCTGCGAGACAAGCCTGGCAGACAAGGCCTGCAAACAGCGCCGCCGATCGAGGCGGCCGACAAGAGTGAACGCAAAAAAACCAGTCGGAAGTGATCGCATGCTTCGAGATGATCGGAAAAACATACCAGATGCAAAAGACGATGGCGTGGGCGGCGTGGACAGCGCCGTGCGTGAGGTCGATGGGATTTTGGTTGGGGTTTTTTTCTGCTGCGAAGCGAAAAAAATGGGCACGAAGCAGGGCCTGCAAAGGGTCGGTCGAAAACGAGTCAGCACTCGACACTGCGACAAGAAAAAGTAGACAGGATGCCTCAGATGCAAAGACAGAGGGGTCGAGATGCAGAATTGAGGAGAAACGGGCTTACCTGTTGTTGTGGTGAGTGGTGAAGGCAGTCGGTCGGCGGGAGGTTAGGTTTGGAGAGAGAGTGGAAGAAGGAGAGAGAGAGTGAGGGCGAGAACGGGAAGGGGAAGGAAAAGGGCCTGGGCTGGCTTAGGCGGGTTTAGGGTGGACAGGCTTTTTTTCCTGCTGTTTCTGCCGGTTGGTGCGGGCGAATACATTGGTAATGTTGGCACTTCAGGGGACAGAGCGCTAGGCTCCAGGGGAATATGTCCCCAGGGAAGCGAGCTACAGTGACCGGTGACAGGCGGTTTCAGGGCAGCCATTCCCTGACATGAGACTAGCGTGGGTGGCCGCTGTAGCCGCCCAGTTGGGAAAGTACCGCCAGCATCACTCAGCACCAGCACGAGACTAGCTCGTGGATAGGCAAGAACGGAAGCCATAAATGGTAGGAACCAAGTACAGTCCTTCCCATCTTGGCCGACCCCATTCAGCAGGCAGGTGCGCTCAATAGACGAGAAGGCCCCTTCGCGATGCACCTGTGTCAACAGTGCCCATTGTGTTCATGTTGTCTGTTCGGGACGACATGCGATGCACAGAAATTTGTTGACGATCATCCGCTTCCCACACGAGCCCCTAGGATCAGTTGGGACAGGAGACGACCCGGTGGCGGCTGGCGACTGGCACCTGCTGGAGGCAGTGGGCAATCTGACGCAGTAGCGTATCGGAGTGCATACACCAGCTCCGTGCATTGTGGGTTAGTGCTGAAGCGTTCCGTGAGCCGCCGGCCAGCCGTTCCTCTCGAGAACTACTTCGTATGGAGGAGAAAACAAGCGCAGAGCACTGAAAGCAGGGCAGATAGGTGTTTGACAAAAGCATGATTACGGGACTAACGTCCTGGGAAGGCGATGGTGTCGACGTATGGTTGTCGCAAAACGAGCATGGGAGATGTACTTTGCCATGTGTGCGGTACATCACGTTGCGATCGAGGTGGTGGCTTGGCATACGCAGCCTGTGTGAACCAGCTACTTACATTATCTTGCCAATGCGCTCACGAGGGTAGACATATCACGCCCGACGAGCAGGAATGCAAAATGGCAAAGGTACAGCCAAAACGACTGAACCTGACTAGACCGCCTCGCAGTGGCCTCGCAATAGCGGTGCCACACCCCCATTGTCTTACCCAGGCCATGGATCGTCGCTGGTCGCTGCTTTTCGCAGACGCTAGAGCTGCGCGAGCGCTTTCTGGGGGCGATGTTGGTGGCAGAGAACATGAGGTCCGCAGCGCTCTGCGGCGACGATGCGCAAAAGCGACGAGGCTTGGTGAAAAACACCATGGCAATAGGCTTCAACTTGCCAGGCCAGCCGGCCCTACCCTGGCCGTCTTTTGTGGTCTTACTTTTACAGCATATGGAAAGCATTGGATGGCGTGGTTTCGTCGCCAGGCCGCCGGCGGCCCTGGCTGTCTGAATTGCTACTGTCCACAGTCTTTTGCAGAAAGGATCGTCGCCAGTGACCGTCGTGCGACTTGAGCGGGTGTGTGCATGGGCGGAACGGGCATGGGAGACAACAAGACAAAGACAAACGCAGTGGAAAGTATGACCGTACCAGACCGTGCACAGCACAGAATGTCCAATGCTTCGTAACAGCGAGGAGGGACCACTCGAAGCGTGAAGGAGGGTTGGCGCGAGAGAGGGGGAGAACAAGGCGTAGCCAATGGCGTAAGGCAGTAGATGCGCCAGGTTGAGTCGTCAAAGGCTGCACACCTCACGGTGTCCTGACCGTGAGCGAAAATGAGCAACAGAAGTGGGTTAAACCCAAACGGGCGACCAGGGTTCTTCATGTTTCGATGTTGGCACTGTCGGCTTTTCGTCGTGCAGCCAGCTTCGTTGTTGGGGTTGATGCAACCTTGTTGGTATTTTATCATCGGGATTGACCATGAAGACATTCTTGAATGGACGAGTCATACTGTACGCTACGAAGGCCAGGATTGCTGCTTATGGACGGTATGCGGAATGGCTCGACTGCCTACCTTCCTGCTGTACGATTTGCGCCGGCATTGGTTGTGGCCTTCCTTCCCAGTTTGTCGCTCTCCAGCCTGGCCAAGGAGTCTTCGTCGTCGTCAGCACGAGAACAAATGCGACTAGGCCGCCAGCTTTTGCGCAAATGACGATATAGTTGTTTTGGGGAAAGAAACGCAAAGAAGGCAGCAAGGCAAGTAGGGGTTCGAAGCTGGAGCGACTACAGGAATGCGACTTCGCAACACTCGCCAACTCTTCTCTTGTGGCAGTCACGGGTTTCTCTCCTTCCTCGCCCGTTCCCGGTCGCACAGTTCCTGCCGGTCGAATCGGCACCGTATACACTCTTGTGGTCGCGCGCATGCCGCTCCTTCCCCCCCCTCCAGCGGCAGAAGCATTGCGCACCACACCTTGAATGGCAGGCGCAGATTAGCCAAGGAAGAGGTGTTTCATTGCGCGAGAACGCAAAGGGTAGGAAAGAGCAGCAAAATGCACGACCAATTTAAGAGCGAGTGCGATCAACGGCCTCGCGATTCATAGCTTTACGGGGTATGTCTCTGCACGCTACGCAAAGCATGAGTGCTCTTCTGGCCATTGCGCTGTCCATGGTCAGTCCATTGGGGCAAGGCGAGAGACCATTGACTCCTGTGGGTGGACCCACTTAGACCACTGCAGTAAAACTTGCCAGGACACGAAGCGACAATGCTTTCATAATGGGAAAGAGCGCCTGTTCGTGCTGGAATCTTTTCGAGGGGGAAAGAGCTAAGGAGCAAACAAAAGACAAACGGTCCATGTTGGAGCTCGAGCTTTGTCTTCGCGAATGCACAATCCAGGGAGCAGACACGCGCGCTGGGGGGCCCGTCGGCGGCCACTTGCCAGCGCATGTGGCCCGTTTCAGGTGCGATGCGGCCGTCGAATCAAAGACTGTCGCCAGACCAGTCGGAGCCCACCGTGGCAGTTGAAGAACAGACACGGACGAGATTTGGCCTGGCGAGAGGCAGGGAGCAAAGCAAGAGTGTGGAGGGTGCGGCCAGACCAGCTGGACCAGAAACAGTCAGGGACCAGACAATGTTCGTGAGACGGAAGCAACAACAAACTGGATGGCCGTCCCACGGCGCAGCGGGATGCGATCAGCCAATGCTTCCCTGGCACAACTTGTTCCAAGAGACATGAGGCCAGGCGCCCTGCCAGGCCACCAGGTCAGCCAGGCTAAACCATACGTGAGCGCAATCTCCCCCGATGCATCGACGTGGAATGCAGAAAACCGGACAGAAGGCAAGTGACCCGAAGGGGACACGAGTGTGTACATATGCAACGTCTGCGAACTCCACAGAAACCGAAGAAGACCAAACAAAAAGCATAAAAATGAACATAAACCTCGAGTACAAGCGCCAGAGCGCCGCCGTCCGTTGAACTGCTCCAAAGCTAAGAGCCACGACTCTGCACGTCGCAGGTTTTTGCACTGTCACAGGCTAGGCTGGCCCGCCGCCACTGCGCTAGGGGCGGGAAAAGGGTGCATCGCAAGACCACAGAGATTGTTTCTTGCAAGCACGGACAAGGCCGCAAAGAACGGGGGCCGACTTTTGTGGACGACCGCGCATCCAGAAACCCACTCACACGTTCTCTGGGGGCATATTATACACGCATCCTTTCCTTATTATGTGCATTGGCATGTTGTAGTCAAGCGCAGATACGTCCCTGGCACACCCTGATGGGTTGGGCGCGGGCGCCGGAAGCATTGTATTTTTCGGTACTGTTCCCTTCCTGCAAGGGCCGTCACCGCCGTCGCTGCCCGTCACCGCTCTCTCGCAACAACGCAGCTGGATGGATGAGATGGGGGTCGCAGTCGCAATGCCTTTCCTTGTTCATGCTGACCAGGCCAACAGATGTTCCTTTTCGCCAGCGTCC